GAGTATTCCTATATTATATACTGTTTATTTTTAATATTTCATAAACTATCATATTCAGTAATAAAATAAAATTTCTTTATTTACTAGTTTTTTACCATTTAAAATATATATATGTTACACAGCAACCTGATTTTTAATAAAATTTATGCCATAATTTTCATCTACAGTTTTTTTTATAAACGATTGTTTTAAAAATAATTACTAAATAATAATAAAATAAAGATTAAAGAATATTTTTAATAGAGTTATTTAAATTTTTCTTTAAATTAAAAAACAACATACATTATATATATATTTAATTAAAAAATATTTATAGATTAAATTTTTGACACTGGTTAGTGCATCACTATTCAGTAAATATCTTGTACAGGCCATCGCAATGTCAAAGGTCGCAAATAATTAATGGTATGAATACATTTGAGTTCCGCAAATATATAGTATTTGAATAGGAAATGTAGAGAGAGAGAGAGAGAGAGAGAGAGTAAAGGAGAGAAAGAATGTATAAAAGGAAATAGAGCAATTGTAGTACAAGGGTATATAAGATCAATAATTTAAAATATAATAAAATTACGCATTTATGAATTATAATGTAACTATTTCTAAAACCATTTCTGATTGATTATAAATTCTTAATAAATTTGTTTTTATCACTTAAAAGATTTGACATTTTTCATTTAAATAATTGTAAAATTGATAATAGTTAATAAACAATATTATTGTTATTAACTTTTAACATAATCATTGTCTAATATATATCTATACAGATATATATTAATACAAGCCATTTAAAAGTGAATAATAAATAGACAAATACGAACTTTCTATATAAATATTGTTTTTTGATAAATAATATGATTTTGATTAAATAAAACATATAATGAATATTTTAAATCGATTAGAAATAAAAGCATAATAAATACACTTTCAAATTAGTAGATCTGTAATAAGTAATATAATTTTTAATAAAAATGCATATAATTTTTTATGATAAAGTTATCTCGAACCTTGTGCGAAAATCTGAGATAATGAAACGGAAATAAGAGCTCATCATATGTTGGCTATAAATTCCTTGTAACAACAAAAGTACTCAGTTTAATATAATTTTATAATTGATCGCAATTATTTTGATTAAGAAAATCGTTGACGATAACCAGCAATGAACATAATTATTGCGTAGGGTGCTCTTCGTCATCAAGTAGAATCAGCAAAATGGATGGAAGAGAGAAATTATGATATCTATAAAAACTATCATTTAAATAAAATTATGTAATATACCAATCAATTTTTAGAAGACCATATATTTATTTTTAAAGCAATATCTTCACAACTGTAACTCTGCCAAGCAATCTCTGCAATTATTGGTAGCGGGTCGGTAATATATGTATCTATACATATGGAGATAGTATTTTTATTATAATTAATATAATTAGTAAAAAAATTCAAATAACTATGTATATAATATAATACGCCCTCATAATGCATGCATGTGGTTAGAGTAAAAATAAGTTTTCATTTCTAATACTAAAATGTGATTTTTTATATTAACATCATAAACATATTACACAGTTAAAACTCATTTTGTGTACATATAAAAATATTATGTCTTCCTAATAGCCAATCTTATTAATGTTTAAATATTACAATTGACGTACTGTTTATAGGAACTTTATTGTTTTTATTGTAATATATTTTTATAATTTAATAAATAATCAAATTATTTGATTTTATAGAAAGTTTTATCTACAAGTTTACGTTTGATTATTAAGCATCTAGTAATACGTACTAATGTATGTATAAAATTACTAAATATGTTCTCGATTGTAGGATTTTTGTTACGTGATGTTACATTAAAGTAGAAAATCACTTTATATGTATTGTAATTCTGTGTCCATTGATTATTGTTATTTTATATACATTAAATATTCATAACTTATTTCTACTATAAAAAGACTATTTTTATATTTTTTTAATATAAAAATTTGGTTTTAGCAATATATATTTCAGTAACTTTCAGATTAAAAGTTCATACCTTAAAATTATCTTTCATTCGAAAAGTTCGTTTCTAGGTCTAACTTACAATTTATAATATTTATCAATAAATAAGTCGATAATGGTAATTACATTTTTATAAATATCTAATTTTTATTCAACTTAAATTAGTAGTAAATTTAAAACGTTCTTCATTAAATAAAGATTTTTATTATTTTTTTATTAAATTTTATTATTTAAAAGATGATTATTATTTTTTGATAATGAAATAAAAGTGACTTACTTTGGACGGGTTTGCTGTCTTTAAAATATATTTTAGTAATTACGTAATATAAATATAATGAAGTTAATTTAGAGGATAAATTGAATTAATTTTAAAAAACTACTTATATATATATATATTGTACATTTTTATATCAGTTATTTGATATCTTACTACGATTGAGAAATAATAAAATAAAAATATAGGTATGCATATAATGAATTGAAATGGAAATAAATATAAGAATGATAGATAGTTTTTATATTATTTTACTAGTTTTAAAAAATAGTATAATACAATCTTTTATTTGATTAATTATAAACTGCATTATCAAAATTTGTAATGAAAAATAAATATTTGTTATATACATTTATAATTATTGGTGAACAATCTATCAACTATTAATACTCTTCGTAATATGTTTTTCTACTAATTGTAAAAATTACTTTATTTAATATTTGATAATACTATTATATATTTCATTATGTTTCATGTAGATGATATAGGCGACAAAATAGTAATATTTGTGTTGAGCATAGATGAATAACTAACAATTTGATTAGTTATAAAAATAACTACTAATTTGGAACAATATTAGAATAAAATAAAGGAACAGATTAATTAAAATTTCACATGCTTTTCCGAGGGACAAAAATTTAATATACATTTTTCTAATGAAATTTATTTATTTTCATTTTATTATATTTCAATATTAAATACCTAAATAAAAATAATTCAACCTGATTATTGAATTATTCAGTGTTTTTTAAATATATATACACAAACATGCATATATATGTATAAAATTCATAATTGTTTTTTAATTTTAATAATATATTATATAATACTATATAATATTATACAATCATAGAATAATACAAAGAAATTTATAAATAAGGCACTAATATTTCAATAATTTTTTAATAAACAATAAACAAAACTTATTTAAAATAATATTATATTTAATAATTTTAGATATAAAAGCCATTTTTCTGTACCAAAAGATTAACAAATTATACATTGAAAAGTGAATTTTACTAAATAGTTGAAAAGATTGCTTTTACATGTATAAAAATGAGAGAAAGAAAATAAAGATTTCAGGTTATGTACTTAAGGTGTACTATCTATTTGGAATCTTATGATAAATTCGATTGTTCTTTTTATAGTATTGTGTCAAGTACTTTGAAGTACTTTGGTGTAATTCTTTCTGATTACTTGTTTCTTTGACCACCTGTTCGAGTTTTATGGAAATATCGAATAATCGTATAGTTCTCAGACAATAGTAATACAAAATTGTCTGCGATCATTTTTGTCAAGGCAATGATCAAATAATTAAATATTGTTTAATATATATAAAATATACAAACGATATGATAAAATTAAAACATATTTAACGTATTCTAATTCTCGATAAAATTATTTATCAATTTATATATTTAAAAATAATTCGTTATAAATATTATGACATATTAAAATTTATCACTATTATTATTAAATAAATAAACAGTTATTATCATGAGTAAATATAGGTATGACTCTTCTATAAATTTAAAGATGATGTTAAGGTTTTTAAATTTCATGAACATATTCATATTACTTGTCTGTACAAGTATTCAAATATATTTTAGGAGATAGATCCAGTAAAAGATAATCCAGAAAACTAGTTATATATATATATATATATATATAATTGTTATAAAACTCCATTGTTTTATTTTAAAATATATGATAGATACTAATTAAAATATATAGTCATAATAAAATTAATATAAGCAATCTCATTAAGGCAACAAGTAGTTTTAATTTGAAAAATTAAAGCGAGTAATAAAATTGTTTAATATTAGTTTGTAAGAGATAAAACGTAGTTTATTTCGTTATTATTCTCGTGATAAATTCGTGTCATGGTTCATGCAGTACAGAATGATGAGAAGGCAAGAAAACGCCGAAATGAGTGAATGACCGAATATCTTCATATCTTCTCATAATCTCGCTGTAAAAATAATTTAGTGCAATATAAAAGTTATAAGTTTACAAAAATTATGAATTATTAAATTTTAGAAGACATGTTATGAGTAACTAAAAAATTAATTGAAAATTTTATCTCAAAATAATTTAATTAATATTAATTAAATTATTTTATATATTTGAAAATCTCTATAAAAATTTACTCTATTGTTTAGTAAATTGCAATATCTGAAAAATTTTCCGATAATTCTTATTTATTTTTTTTTATTAAAACAAATTATCATTATATTTAATATTTTTTCAGTTAAAAATTACATACATTACATATAATTTGTTCAATATACGTCTATTTATAAACATACACAATTCATGTTTAGTACAATTATTGATTAAGTAATATCAGTTTTTTTGCATAAATAATTTAATATTTATTTAAATTTTATAAAATTATTCACAAGTTATTTTTAAAGAGAAATTTTTTACCATAATGAACATTTATATATTTATTATAGAATTTATATATTGTATCAACAAATTATTATGTATATTTTGGCTTTGTACTTTTTTTTTAATACACTCTAAACATTTTATAATCTAAATTAATATTGTCTAAAATAATTAATAGTCTAAAATAAAATTAATACAATACTAATATTATACAATGGATGTCTATGTTATAATATAAACTGTTTCATGAAACAAGATATATTAATCCCAACATTGATTTATATTTTTCAATATTGCTAATTAATAAAATATATAAAATAATGAATTTAAAACTCACAAATATAAATTTGTATTCCTTATTGAAGAGAACGATCGGCGTTTGGAGTTGTCGTTCTTCAGTAAATACCATACCATTTGGATCAGTTTTAAGGTTCACTGCTCCTGGTAGAGCAAAGGGGTAAAGGTCTTTTCGACTCACTGCAGCTATTCGAGTTAACGTGAAAATAAGTAGGAGAAGAGACTCTCGTATCCCAACCTTCGGCTTAAAAAATGCATTACGTATCATCGTGTGAGTTGTTTTTACGTGACTGTTGGATAGTGACTCCTCAGAACATTCTTGACGACTCTCTTCGATCCCTCTATCAGTCTCTCTCATTATCATTTAAGTATTTTCCCTCTTTCTCTGCTTTAATCTCCTTCTTTCTTGCACACGTCTTTCCTAATCTTCTTTCTACAGGGCTTATTGCTTGGGTAGTTACTGAAGAATGACATAATCCGTCTAACTGGAACTTACTCGAGTAACACATACGATAATTTTATGAAGCAGAGCAATATATTATTATAATACATATTTGCTTCGATTAAAATTTCCTACTTTATTTTACATAAGTTAAATTAAAAAGAAAAGAAAATCTTGGAGATTTCCGCATATTTTTTCACTAATACTTCATCATAGGACATTTAAAATTTGTACTTAAATACCATCAAATTGAATCAGTTCAACAATTTTTTTCAAAATTTGATAAATTAAAAATAATTATAATGAATATTTATATTTAAAGCTATTATAACAACTTTTCAGTTATCATATACTCTTACATTTATTCCAACTCTAAATCATATTATTTATTCGTTAATTTTTTTATTTACTTAATTTTTATTTATAAACTATATTTATTTTTTATGAAGATTTGTAATTGATAGAATGATTTTTTAATTACTATTTTATATCAAAATGATATAATAAATTAATTCATTTGAAAATATATTTTTCTGAAATATGTTTTATATGTAAAAATTTCTATGTTTTATACATATTTCTGGTTGAAATGTATGGACAAGAAGCTAATTCATAAATTTTATATTTATTAAATACAAATATTTAATTAAAACGATAATATAAAAATTTAAAAACAAAATAATAAAATTCTGTATCCAAATATTAAAATATAATAATCATTTTGTAAAAATATTGATATGTGAATATACGTTGTTTTATTTATATATATATATATATAAAAGATACAATTGAGATCTTAACAATGATTTAAATTATTGAAAAAATCAAATTCATTTATTTAATAAATTTACATTACGATTCGATATAAAAAATTATGTTATTATATTTAGATTATCAATATCAAAAATTGATTTATTAAATTCGTAAAATATAACTTAAAATTATACAAATCGTTTAAATATACTTATGAAAACAATTACTATTAATAAATGGTAATTTAAAAAGATATTCAATTACTTACCAATTAATTGTTAATATTAATATACATATATACATATTAATATTAATATATACATTTAAATTAACATATTCTATATCTATCATATTTTTAAATATTTTATTATAAAATGTATTCTTGACAGAAAAAATTAATTTATATCATGTAACCTAATTTTTGTTATATATGAAAATTTTTAGATGAAGATTACTTTTAAGTGAATACTTAAATAAAAAAGTTTGACTTAAAAATTCAATTTTTCAACAAGTACTAAAATTTGTACTATAAGTTTTGTCTTATTTTTTGTAAACAATATTAAATTGGAAGATAATTAAAAATTCTATGAGAATGTACTCAAAATTTTAAATACATTATTTTAATTTTTTAATATAAAATTATTTAGATTTAAAATCTAACATGAATTTCTAAAGAACAATCTGATAAACATTTATCTTGATATATTGCGATTCTTAATTTTTTAAAATAATAATTAATTAAATTGTAAAATCCATCAGATTTAGAATTTTCATGATGCTGAAAAATTCCTAAGTAACTGTTGAGTGTTTTATAGGTAATTACCTTGAAATTTTTAATAATATTTTGTTTTTTAAATAATGATTAAATATAATTGTTCGTGTTAATTAACCATCATTTATTGAATCTTTACAAAATATTTTATAGCTTTAACTGAGAATTATCTAAATAATATAAAGTACAATTATTATCTATATATAGTATTACAATATCAACTTTCAGTAAATTTCTTATATGTTATTTCATTTAATAATTTTTGTTCATAAATTTTAAATAAATAAATAATTTAAAAGGTATCCTTTCAATTTAATGTAGAATCATTTGTTGCGTAGTACGCAGATTTCAATTACGAATTCCAATTTTGTTCAATTCAACGAGATCAACGAAAAAGTTGATATAATAGTTTAATAATATTTAAAAGGACATTATTTATAATATAATCATGATATACATATAAGGCAATGAAGGTAAATATCAAATGTATTAAAAGAAGGAATTATTCCAGTATTTATTTTTAAATTACTCTGGACATGAATTTTGTAAAAACAAAACAGATTACAGATTACTAAACGTGACTGTATTTAATGCACTGTTATATCAAATTAATTACAACGATATCAGATTTAAAATAAAAATGTATTCTGTAATCAGAATGTGATAGCATAGACAAATGTTTTTGATCATAATAAAAATTTCAAAATATTTTATATTTTAAATTAATCTAAATGTACTAAAAAGAAAAGTATTGATCATGAACCAATGTATTTAGAAAGTATTTTTCGTTACTTAAAAGTAGACAAAAAAAGGCTGGTTGGAGAAGGCAAGCTCGCAGAAAAATTAGAGCATTTAGGTATTTGATAAAACTTGATAGTAAGAATGAGACAAAAAGGTTATGTATTTCATTTTTAGCTATTTTTGTTGAAATAATTAATAATATATACTTAGGTTTATTAAAAAACATATAATATAATCCTGGGTATGTAATTGCATCGATGGAGATTTATGCTTTCCACTTTTTTGTCGATATTTTAGTATAAAACACAATACACGTGCATTTTTCTTACTTATTATATATAATACATATACTAATTTCTTAAATCATATAAAATATTCAGCATCGTAAGACATTGCACTTTTTATATTAATTAAATGTATAATGTATATATATTTAGTATTGCATTACACATGATTTAGGACATCCATATATACATAAGCATAAATATTTTATACAATTGCTACCTGCATATATATACATATTTGTTACTATATGTGTATGTTTTCTAATTTATTAAAACACAGTTGAGTTAGTGCCTTTATCATAAAATTTTTATCCTAGTAACAAAAAATTGATATTTTTAGTTGAATAAGAACTATCATAATATTTCGTTAAATTCTTGTAAATAATATTTTAATTTAATAGTAAATAATTATATTTTGTTATTGTTAATATTTACAATTTGTATAATAAACAATTTTGAACAGTATATTACTAGCATATAAAATGTAGAAAATTATTATATTAACTATATTAGAGAATGCTCAAGAGATATAGAAACATCTATTTAAACTACAAAAAATTATATACAAACTAAATGCAAAGAATTTGAAAGACAAAGTAGAGATATTATTATCTTTTTAAATTACATTTATTATTGATTTACTATACAAATTTAAATTAGAATTGAATTAAAAATCATTGCTAACGATTGCAATAAAAAATATGTTCCTGTAATAAATGACTTTATTATTGTAGTATATATTTACAATTTTTTTTATTAATGATTCTACTAATTCATATGAAAAAATAAATAGTTTTTAGAAATAATAAACGAAGTAATAAAGTAATAAATACTATAAAATAGTACATTTATATAAAAAAATTTTTAATATATAAAAATTAATTTTTTTTTATTTTCATTTTTTATCTATCATATATATAATTTCATATATCAATAAATTGAAAAGCAAAATATAAAAATATCTATTTTATTAACTGAATTTAGTTAATAGCACTAGTAGATATAAATATTTTTTTATCTATAATTTTAAGTTTAAAACATAATTATAAAAAATATTTGTGAAATTTAAATTATATTAAAAAGAATATACAGGAATTTTTTATTATAAATGTTTCTCTTCAATTTATTATGACACATTTATGATATTTAATTTTTGTATATAAGATAAATATTTGATCAAAGTAATATTTCAATTAAATATATCATTAAACATTTTGTGTATTATATACATTTATATTTCCTTATATTTACAAATTTTATATTTAATATATAATAAATAATTCATAAAAAAAATTTTTTGTTATCTTGACTTACCGTTTAATAAAATAAAATTTTGGTTTTTTATTAATTCTACAAAATTTTTAAGTAAATTTACTTTTTATGATTAAGTAATTAAAACTTAAAAAAAAATTCTATGTAAATTTAACACATATATTCAGATTTATGAATTTATATATATATTACATATTAATAATCTAATGTTATTATTTATTTTAGTGATAGATTTTATCAGGCATATGAATTATTTTAAACTAGTTTGTTTAATGAATTTATATTTTTTTATGAGTTGACACCAATGTGTATAGTTCTATAAAATTTGTACAAATCGCTTTTGGTTATATAATTATACGTTACCTATAAATAATAATTATACTTGTAAATTATTTAAATTCTAAACTAATATTTTTTATAACTATATAACAAGATTTTTGTTAATTTTAATACTAGTATTGCTATTGAAAAGAATCAGGATACTTTCATGTTTTATTTCTATTATTTTCTTATATGTCAAAATTAGTTGATGTAGTCAAACCATACTAAAATGCTCTCATTTTCTACATTTCCTCTTCGTTCTTATGTAAACTATTTTTATCCTAAGTAAACGATCCTTGTGACAATAAAAAATTCAAATATAAAAATAAACTTTATTAACTACATTTATTACTACAATATTTTAAAAAATGTATTTTGGCGCACCCTGCTCTAACTATATAGGTGACATTGGCGGATTAAAATTTAGACTTACATAAATTCAAATACATCAGAGAAAAATGTATTGATATTTACAGAAACAAAAATTTACACTTACAACACAATCGTTACAAGTTAGTAAAACTGTATCTTATTAACCAGTAATTAAAGACGAAGTTATGTGATCATATAAACAAAAATCTGATGAATAAATCAATCCTTAAGGATTTCAACTATTTATTCTCATTCTTCTCTTACTCATTTGTCTTTCTTTGTTTCATTTTATTTTTGTATATATTACATTTTTCTTTCACTATTGCAAACACGACGTGTGAAATTAACAGAAATGGAATTTTTTCTTGTTTATCATATTTAATTATTATACAAAAAATTGAAACTATTTATAAATAATTGTCTGTCATTTAGTCTTCACATTATTGCATTTTAAAACTTTTATTTAAATAAAATAAAAATGGATAACTTCTTAAAATATTTCAAACAAAAATATTGTTTAAAGTTTTTTGTTTTTATCTTAAACAGAATCTATAAGAATTAAAAAAATGTATTTCATCAGCAATTTTTAAAATTTTTTGTTTTCTGTAATACAATTATAATAGAATATATATAAAATTTATAAAATGAATTTTTTATCATTCAAGTATATACTTTATTTCTAAATTATGTTTTCATACTGTGTGTGTGTAGTAATATATATATATATATATATATATATATATATATATGTATATAATATATAATGCAGTAGTAAACTTTGATAAGTAATAATCACTATAATTTACAATACATGTCTTTGGGTAAATAAAATGTAAATTCACTCCACTTTCTTTTTCATATTTGCAAATAATTTTTTTATCCATTATATACTACACGTTATTGTCCTTGCTGATAATTACAATTAAGATAATTTTAATACTTTGCAATGGATTTACTAAGGATATAAGTAAGTTATATATATAGTGATAAATAGTAATTTATTATTACATTGACAATATTAAAGCATATTAGTTTACTCGTGATATAATATAAATGCATTGTAATACAAATATAACATGGCATTGATAAACAAATTATATAGTGTTTACACTGGGTTGAAATATTGTACTATATTTGATTTAATCACTCTATAACAATAATCTTACTGTTTTGCTTTGAATCTTTTCTTTCAAGTAAGGTATTTTTTACTTTTTTGCTTTTCTAGGCATTTATTGCACCTATGACATTTTAAATATTCACTTCTGTTCAATTTTTATTTTATTATTTTATAATTTGTAATTTTATTAATATTTTTTTACAAATATTATTATGGGTATGCAATATTAATGATACCAGTACTTTTACAAGTACTAGTTATTTTAAGAATATATTTTTATTTAATTTGTTCTTTTCTTTAAATTTTATTGAACTATTTGTTAAATTATATCTATATACACTAAGTTATTTTCAGTAAACCAGTAAAAAGTGTAACAAAACACATATTTATTATTTACTTTTAATTTAATGAAAAAAACACTATTTTAATTAAAAATTAAAAAATTGTATTGTGGATCTAAACATTTATATTTTTGAAAATAAACTAAAACATAAGGTTATATCACTTAGAATATTGAATGTATTTTTTATTATAAAATAATAACAATAAAAATAATTGGTGTAAATAATTTTATTAGAAAATGAAATTGACCCTAGAGTAGTACACTATATGGAGTGACTGCTAGTACAATATACTTTAGAAGGGCAATTTTCTTAATTTCTCAAATAAGGCAAGATTGGTCAATATAAGCTATTCATCAATTTATTCAATACAATATATATAATATAAAAATTTCAAATCATGTTTATTTAAAAAAGTTTTATAAATTTTTAAAATTGTACAATGATGTATATAGTATTAAGAAAAATTACTAAAAAAATTATTAACTATATAAGACTAATAAAGTAAGTAACTTATAACAGATTTTATTTTAATTTTTTTTTAATTTATACAAATTTTTTAAATTCCCTTTCTAAATATGTAAAATGTTTTAGAGTATGTAAAATATTTGTAAATAAATTTATATTAGTTTTAAAAAAAACATACTTTAATGGTTAAATATTTTTTCAATTCAAAATTTTCTTTAAAATTAGGAAAATGTAATATTATGAAACTAATGATTTAAATATAAGTTCTTTAACTGTAATTTGTAAAATGTCTTTTCTATCGAATTTAGACATTTTCATAATCTTGAGAGAATTTATTATATTTTCTTCACAAATAGACTTCAGATCATATTAAATAAGGTAAAAACACATCTTAATTGAATAATAATTTTAAAACTAAGTAATTTGAAAAACTAATCAATAAAAATACATAAGATTCTATTTAATTAGTTAAAAAGTAGTTTAAATAGTTAATTTTAGGCTGTATTTAAAATAAAAGTATTCGTTATTAAATAAAATTCTACTTTATAATAGATTAAGTTTAATATACATATATTTGTATTTGTATTAATATATTTGTATATGTATGGATTGTAATTATAAAATTTGTAAATGTGCGATAACAAACTTGTATTTTTATTTGTAATCTGATTTTAGACATTAAACTTTGTTTATATTTAATAACACATTTGAAAATATTAATCAATTTATTTAATCTGATTTAATGTAGCTAACAGTATCCTAAGAATACAAATGATCTAATAATGAATATTATAGATAATAAACTATCATAATACGTTAAAAGTAAAAAATTTGTTTAAAGTATAGCATAAAACATATAACAATTCAATTACAACTAATATTCATATCATCACTTATATTTAGACATAATAAGTGTTTTATAACATTTCAAGACTTTTGCTTACGAAGGTGTTATAGCAGATGTAGTTTGTGAATCCTGAATATTGTGCCAAGCTATATTATGTGTATTTGTCCGTATATATTTAAAATCTTGACGTTTGTGATACTGCGCTTGAATATGATTATGTGAATTTTGATTAGAAGCTGACGTCCGTACTCGTTCAGTTGTCCCACCATTAAAACACCCACATAAGGTTGATGTTAAAACGCCTAGTGCACCACCTAAATTAAGATAACTCTGTAATCTTTTCCCACAATTATTTGAATATTGTTTTTTTATTTCTCATTTCAATTATTTGAAATTATTTATTTTATAAATCATTTAAAATTATTGATATTCTCATCAATATAACTCCTTTCGATTTGTAAAACCACTTTAGTATAAAAGTAATGTATAGACATTAAATATAATTTGTGATGAAATTTACAAATATTTATTTATTTTCTTTAATAATTTGTACCCTCTAAACAAAATGTACGAAACATTAATCTTTAATAATTTTCCAAAATGAATATTATTTGTTCAATTTTCTTTGGTTAATAAAAATTCGTATAACGTTTTACCATTGTATAATTTTATCAATTTATACATATATATATGTGTGTGTGTGTGTGTGTGTGTGTGTGTGTGTGTGTGTGTGTGTGTGTGTTTGTAAGTAAATAAAGTAACAATTTAAGTATGATTCGTCAGCAACTTAGATTAATTTATGTTGAATTCATATGCACATATTACTAAACATAAATAAAAATTGAATAATTAAAATTATAATTTCAAGAGATTTAAAAATATTAAGTAAAATAAGATATAATAAATAAATAAATAAAATAAAAAGCAAAAATATTACTGTGATTTTCTTGGATAGCAATGGTTTCTCTTGAAGAATCACTTGCTATACTACTTGTTTCACTATCTCTAAGAATACTATCGTATCCAGAACTTTCGGTTCGGTATCTGGAAAGAGTAACAGATGAATGTTTAACAGCGCCAGAAGTCAAATCTGTGCCTGAATCATAATCATCCTTGCTTTCTCTCAAAGAAGACCCAATATTACAATGTTTTTCTTTTATTCTATTAAATATGGGAAGCGAAGATGGGTTAATTATAGGATGTTGAGTTGGAATTGTAAAACCTGTAAAGTACACAAAAAAGTCTTATAACAGTTTGTAACAATACTAAATCCATTAATAGTCTTAAACAATTCTTAGTTTACGAACAGTTTTTAAATCAAACTTGAAATTCAAAATATTTAAACATTTGAATCAAGTAGTCAATAAACAGAAAATGATTTCCTAAACAAAATTATAAGATTTATTATAATTATCGTCCATCAAATTGAAAAGAATATTTTTTCTCATTTTTATTTTCAGTCTGTTTTACATGATCTATTTTTTACGTAATTGTAATTAATTATTATGATTATTACGACTAATTTTAATATCAGAAATTTAGAAGAAATTATAAAGATTTAGAACTTTTATTTGTTTGATAATACTATATAAATTTATTTAGAATTAAGTTTAACTTACTAGGAAGTTTTATTTTTTCCTCGATGTCTGATTTTTCGATAATCATCCTTTCATTAGATTTTTTAGGAAATAAACTATTAGTATTAGTAACAAAAGAAGTAGGTAATAATTTGACTTCAATATATTCTTCAGAATCCGATATAGTGGCTCCATTACCGGGTACTTGTTCTTCTTTAAGATTGTGGTTGGGGACATCGTCTGGTTGTCTAAGGCTAGAGATATTGCATTGATGAAAATAATTACAATATTAACTACAAATGACAAAATGAGCAATACTAGGATACCATGAGGAAGCAGTAGAGAATTTCATCATGCTTTGTCGACAATTATCACAGATTTTATCTGACTCATTCATTTCACTTATATAAATTGGTTCATTGTATGTACTGGCATGATTGTTAATAATATCATTAAATGGAACATCTGAAACTGATATAGAGTCGCAGCAAGAAGATGGATGCAAGGCTGCAGCCGAGAATGCTAAATTTGATAAATAATTTCATTCATAAAATCAAACTCAATGAAAAATAAATAATTTTGTTATACTCCAATGTTTTTTTTTATCCAATTATATATAATGTGTATTTTTAACTTAATTATTTATTTAAATACTTAAATAAGTTACAATCTAAATGAAACTAATTAAAAATAAACAAAGATAAAAAATATAATAAATAATTACAATTTTATAAAAAAAAATCTTTTTATCAGGTTATTTATCGCCATTAATAGTATATATTAAGTTACTATTTTTAAACTTGCTAATGCTAATTTCACTGTTACTATCAATTGCAATAAAAATACTCTTATTAGTTATATATATATATATTATTTTTTTTTCTAATAATATGAATATATTTAACTTACATGCATCAGATTCTCGAATGTTGGTAAAAGAAGAATTTTCTCTTTGATAAGTTAAAGAATTAGTAACATTTGCAAGAGCAAGTTTACTTTGATAAAGTTTATGAAGCCGAGCTAACTGATCAAACTTATATCGGTTTTCTTGTTCATAAAAGGTGTCGTGATCAATCTGAATTTGCGGAAACATTCCTATGCTGACAGGAGACGATTCTGATAGAATTGATATTGAATCTGTGCATTAATAATTTTATATTTATTGTATATTTTATATAGTATATAAATTTAAATGTAATATTTTAAGCGTCAAACATTAATTTCGTCTTCTTACATGTACAAGATCTATTTAAGTAAAAATATCTTGGCTTTACAGAAAAAATAATTACAATATTTGCAAATGTTAAAAAAAAAATTTTAAATTACTTTTGTATATGTTTGTATGATACTATTTCTGAACCCACATACTTTAAAATATAATTACGTACTAAATTGAGATTTGTATAAATTATATATAATTTTACCAATAATCTTTCAAATCATACACAATCATTTTATAAAAAATACTTGATAATCATTAATACGATATAAAAAACTAAATAAAAAATGTTTTAGAAATGTTTGCTAAATTTAATAGATTATTTAAAACTTACCAGCCAAAGTTGATAAAACAGTCAGATTTTCCGGACTAAGAATTCTTAAAGGATGCACATCATTGGTATTATCAAAGATTGGATGATCCTCCATACAAAGTGGTATATCTGCTTCCGTTACCTGTAGACAAGAGTCTTGCATTGATACTGACTCTCCATTTTTTAATTCAATGATTTCAAGAATTTCATTTTTCGAGGATAATGATTTGCTAGATGATTGTAAATATATGATATTTTTATGAGATGTATTTAAATTTTCTATTGAGATATCTTGACTAATTCCTCGTTCGAATGGTTCAATTAGTGGTAATGGCGGTGGTACAACAATTTCCTCATCATCATCATCGTCTTCTAACGTATCTAAAGTTTTATGCAGCTCTTCTATATTATCTGTAAATGAACTACATTTTAATTTTAAGCATGAGTTCGTATTTGATTCGATATTAAGAAAATTTAATTTTGCTTCAACTTTCTCATTTATGTCCTCAAGTTCATTTATTTTTAATCTATTATTCCCAACCGTGGATAAAGATGTATTCTCATTATCGTCTTCAATGCTATTATTATAATTGATCGTTGTTAAATCTTTAAAGTGCACTAAACCAGTAGTCACCTTAATATTTGTTGGTTGCTGTACATAAGATAAACTATGTTTACCTCGTTGAATTTGAGACGATTGATTCTCCACCCATTTTCTAATCATACTTTTTTTATAACTATCCATAAAACCATAACTGTTTGAATGTTGTGCATATAAAAGATGTGACTGATCACTTGTTATTAGGTGCATAGGCCCATCTATCCATGTTTCCGTTCTATGAGTTGTTCCTTTTAACATATGCCGAGCCTCTGCAACCTTTGATTTAGAAATTCTTGGGCCATCAATCCATTGTTCGTCGGAAACACTATTAGATGCTAATGAAGAAAATTTGTTCATTGAAAAATCTGTTATTTTAGATGTTGGTATCTTTAAAGCGATTTTATGAGCTGGGCTAGGTTTTGAGATTGTATTTTGTATTGGTGATATTTGTTTTGGAGTTGCTTCAGATAAAACTTTTACTAGTTTTGTTACTTTGTATAGTGGGTTTCGTTCTTCGAAAGTTTTGCTTTGTTCTATCAGTGAACCTCGTAATGCTTTTCCTACGATGAACCTTGTACATTGTTAAATATAATAATTTATAGTAAAAAATATTATTACAAAATAAAATGATATGTTTTATTTACTGTTTAATTTTTAATTATATAATAAAAAAGAATGATTCATTTTATAATTTGTAAAAATCGTAATATCATGGCAATGTATAATAAAATATAGTATTTAAAATTTTATAGTGTTTGTACAATACAGAATTTTATTTAAAAATAACTCACTGAAAATTCAGAGTAATAATTTTGCAATGTAATCTTTATCAATTAAAAGATTATACAAGTGATGATAGTTCATTTGTTAGAATTGTGTTCTTTTTAAAATAAAAATATTTTTAATTTGTTTTAGAATTGGCAATATATAAATTAATCATTAATGAGAATTAATAATACAGTTTTACTTACATACAAATTTTTGTAATTAATTAGTACTTTAGTTATCGTACAACATGATTACTAAAATAGATCATTAACAAAACAAGATAAAATATATATAGTATAGTGCAATACAAATAAGTATGTAAAAAATTGTTAAAACCAACCTATTATTATCAGAATTAAGATTAGCTATGTAAACCGGTGGGTGTTCACCATCTGTAGTATCATCAACACTTGGACCAACATAGATAACAGTATCAGCTGAAACATCACTTGAACTTGGATCATACTCAGTATTTCTCCTATCCACTTCTTCATTAGAACTGTCACTGCTTCCAGTATTATGTACATTGTCATTCACAAAATGGAACTTTCTGTGACGCATATGATGAATACGTGAAGCAAATTGGCAAGTTGTCAATGTATCGTTATACCAACGACTGCTGGGAGAAATATGGGCAATCATCGTAGCATAACATGTGAGTGAACCTAAGCATTTCTTCAGTAATTGAGTAAGCTTATGATGTCTGTACGGTAGATGTTTATATCCATTGAAAATAGCAAGAAGTACATTGCCTAAGCCAGAAAGTGGTATACCACCGGAAGATTTACTATGTTCCGAATTCCCAATGTCAATTAGGTGTAGTTTACTACGACCACCCAATACTATACAATAAAATATATTTATTGAATATTAAAGTTGCTATTAAAATTTTATTCTGTTGAAATATCTTATTTTAATGTGTAATATTGCAATTTTTAAAATTATGTATCAATTTTATTATATAGTGTATAATATACAAGATATTGAAAATACTTAAATATCCATAAATCTACTACTATTTTGAAAAATCATTTTTTTCAAGGATATTATTGATAAAAATAAAAAAATGATTAATGTTCTGACGTAAATTAAATATTGGACATAGTTTTAATATTATCGTAAAAGTCCAAAATAAAATAATATAAATACTTTATATATAAAATAATAATAATACCAATGAGTATATACTAAATTAATTTATAACATAATTTATTAAAAATTATATAATTTAAGAATTATGTATATATAAATAGATACCTCCACCCTTTCCAGCAACATTATATTGATGTACATGGAGTGTATACAACATATGTGCATTGCCATCTTCTCGTTTACGAGCTGCTGCGGCTACATCAAGATAAAAAGCAGCTCGTTCTGCATTCGGTACTCTTAGCTCGCTAGGTTGTTGTAATCGAAAAGTGCCATAAAGAGGATTGTCTTTTATATAAGTTAAGGAAGATCGTTCAGATTCTGAGAAGTAAGAATATAAAACTAAAAACTAGACCATTACATATATCTTTGTAATTACTGTACGATACTTTCATGATTATTTTTACAATGCATAAGTATTACTATGAATACAAAAAGGTTTGCAATATTTAAAGAGCAAGTAAACATTAAATTAAGATATAAGTGTCAATAATGGTATTAGTATAACTATAGTGATAAAACTAGGAATTAAAATAAAAAAACTAAAGTTCATAGAACTAATCGGGAAGGTAAAGGATGAAAGTAAAAAAGACTTGTAATTTTGCTATTCTTTATAATTATTTTTTCTTAAGTTACATGGATTTACATTACATTTTCTTAAGTTAAGTGGATTGCTCGTTTGAAAATTTATTACTTTTGTATTTTGGAACATCAACTAACCGTTATCGTTTTAAATGTACCATATCCACTAATTTAAAGTAAGATTTAATATGATGTATTGTATCAAAATTTTTTAATATCTTTTTTAGTTGAAATTTTAGAATCATGAAAATTGATAAAATTATTATATTCTAAAATTATATTCAATGTTTTTGAGTATGACATAGTATTTTGCAGTTTGTTTATGTAATATATTTGAACATAATTTCTATATATCTTTTGGCAAATAAATACTTCTTTAAAAATAGGTTGTTGCACATTATTTTATATTATTTATTTAAGAACAGTATTTTATTGATTTAAATGAGATTTATATTATTTGTATGTTATCTATTAATTCTAGATTGTGGTATCTGGCATACATTAATTATAGTATTTAGTACAATACCGTGATCATTTCAATCGTATTTGAATATATAATATCTTTTAAATTTTAATTACTAAATACAAAATCTGTTATCGCCATTATGTATGGCAGAGTGGCGTATAGTATTTCCGTATTACCGCAAGCAAATAAAAAATAGTATGATTTATTTAATACCAAATGAGTTCTTTTAAATACAATCATATTCATACTTTGATTTTATATTAAAGTTAGTAACTCCCCTCCACATTTGAAATTCTCAACAACCTAAATTTAAAAATATGTATATAAATCCTAACATTTTAGTTTCTTCAGGATATGCTAATACTTCATCTATAGGTGAATTTGAAAATGAAAATATTAGAGTTATGCATTCAGAGATGTAAATATTTATGTAGTGATACTTTACCTGCAATCTAATTTGTGATTGTCCAACTGTTTGATAACAAAAACTTAAAGAAAAATAGCAGAACTTTTGTAAACAAATAATAACCAATATGAGAAACTCAAGATAATTCAAATTATTAACAGAATCATTCTCCCACTTGTACTTATCAAAATTAAGTTTGTGAATGCTTTATCTTATTACGAATATCTACCTAAACTAGTTTAAATAGAATTTACTTGAAATAATCATACTTTATTCGATTAAAAAATATACATTCAATTGAATATATTCTGATAATCTAAGATAAAAATTCTTTGTAATCGTTATTTAAAAAAATTTTTTTGAACATTGGTTTAAAATATTAACATATTTAGCTAAAACTTGAGCAAATATAACTGATTTTGAAGATATTTTAATTTACGAACAGTGTTCATGATTTTATGACACTTGGATCAAGAAATTGATAAAGGTTAGATTTGCGGTTATTAATACTGTATTATTTTATTCATATCCATAGTTAAAGTAATAGAAACTTATTCAAATATATAGAATTTTAAACTATCTTATATAAGTATATACATAATGTTTCAGGCAAAATAAAATTGATTGATGTATATATCCATCATAAGAATGAATGTAAATATATTAAGATCGGTTTAAGTTCATTTAAAATTTCTTCTAATAATTTAAAAATTGTTGAAATCTAACCATATAATAAACAGAAGAATTTTTTTAAGATTAATGATTTTATTTCACGAGGAATCCAAATTTATTGCTTGCAAGAAGAGGAAAGTGGTATCACTTCACAGTAAAAAAACTGAGTGTGCGCGTGAGAAATAATTCAGTTATGATATCAGTAGCAGGCATAGATAAGTATAATTAAAAATTACTTTTTTATAAGCTTATGTATTACAGGTGTGTATATTTGTTTATAATAAAATAGATCTAAAACGAATAGACTGATAATAAATAATATTAATTATTTGCTTCAGTAATAAAAGAAGTGTATTTTAGTGAATTATTTATTTATAGATTTTTCATTTTAAAGTCGATTTTTTGTTCGTTTTTTTATTGTTACAGATTTATTTAATTATTATACATAATTAAAATGATTTTTTTAATATTAGATTATAGATGACAAGTTTATTCATAAAAAATAAAAAATGAATATATTTAAAAGTTATAAGCAACTATATAAATTTAAAATAATTATAACTAAGAGAATTTGTTTTATATTGTATTAATTATAAATAAGAGAATTTCTCGTGTATTATTTTGGGAATAATACCAAGGGTCATAATTTTTACTAAAATTCTTCCACGGTCATTGGAGGCTCGAAAGACGCAATAAACGGCCTTGTTATTTACAAGCAAGAGGGCAGCGAGCCTGTTTATGCGAGAATATTTCGAGAGTGGACTATTTGAAAGCAATCGAGTTGGAAAACATTTCCTAAAATTCATTGTAAGAAGAAACCAGCTCGTGCGACGTCTGGCATTGTGTGCCGCACGTATACCTTCAATGTCACCACACAACGCATGCATTGTTGTCAAGTGCGCTAATGTTTTCGTTTGCATAGGCCAAGCGAAGACGCTTGACCAAGAACCACCCCCACATCGCTAAGTCCCGGAGAGGCGCGAGCCTTGCATTTGAAGGCGCTGCCGTCAGAGACAGTCTTTTCGAAATTGTCATTGTCTAAGCCTAATTTTTTCGGAAGTGGGAAAAGAGGTGTGCATGTTCAATCATGCCGCCAAAGAGCGGCACGCCCTGATTGGAAAACTAAAACCAGTAGCTCCTTAAGTGGGGACTCATTGCGAGAGGCCTTAAAGTTGGGGACGACACAGCAGCAAGGAGCTGTCCGTGTGGGGAAGCCAAGTCGGAATGGCTGTCAGTATGGGGAATCCAAGTCAGAAGGGAGCTCTCACTTATCGGTGAAAACTAGTGACCACGTTTTTACGTGATACACTGACTAGAAGGAAGATACATTAATCCTCCTCTACTACAGTTGAAAGGTGTTAGCGCTATCACCTTCATTTACACCCACTCCTACATTTTGAGCGTGAAATATGTTGAACTACTCATTCCAGGATCAGACCAAGGCTACTGTATCACTGTGAGTACACAAGTCCGTTCGATCTAAATTATTGCCAGTCCTTACAACACTGGTATGACACTATTATTAATAGCACATCACATCCACTAACAAGGAGTGAGCATAAACAACTGCTGATCCTTACAAAATCAACATCAACATCACAATCTCAAGGAGCATCTTGTGTAGTGAAAGATCCATCACAAGAAACGTTGCAAGAAATCGCAGTTCACATTAAATTCAAGATGATTCTAAAACACCAATACGTAATTGTATTATAAATTGTAACATAAATCATATATTCATCAAAATATATTACTAATACAATATTCATTCAAACTATTGAAGCATTGGTAGTTCGAGCCAAGAAAACTATAACATCGTTTCTCACAAACATATAGGATTGATTAAAATTTTAATTTTTCTAAAATCATCATAGCCTAATAAAATTTTTAAATATTGACTATAAAAATAATATAGCATATTTCAACTCTGCTTTATATATTCTATTAACATTTTTCATTTGAAATTTTCTAATTTCTGTACCGTGTATATATTAAATTTAATTAAATTGCATTTATTAGAAAAGCAAAAACTAAATTATAAATATTATATTATAAATTGCAGAAATTGAAATCATAGTTTAAAAAATCTTGTGATTTGATTAAATTTAAATAAATATTTATTTATTTAATGTTTCAATTCTAAACTTATTTCATATATATTGAATAGAACCATTTCCCCTTTTTTTATATATATCATTACTGTCCAAAATAATCAGCATTTAGTTTGCTTTAATTTGTATTGTATAAAATAATATAGTTGTTCCGTGTATATATTGTTATTATATTACATAAGTTAAAAAATTACATAATTATTCTATAAGTAATTTCGTTTTAAGCAAGAGAATTTGAAGCAAATGATGTAATTGTAAAGACCATAATATTATAACGAAGAGATTATTGGATAATAATTTTGGTTAGGACTCGATCTGAGAATAATTACTATAAAATTAAGCAGATTGTAATCTATTAATATTTTAAATATTATCTAATTTAAACTTACCATTGGTATGAGTAATAAGGAGATCCTTAAAATGTTCTTGGTCTGTTGTTAATTCTAAACAGCTCACTCTCACACTATATCTTGCACCTGTTTTTTGTTGTTGTTCATTAATGCCTCGAAATAGCCAAGTTATTGCACAAGGTATCACACCGAGTGTATGGCCTGCCTCAGCAGTACCAAGCATTGTATATGTTTTTCCTAAAAATTTGTAAAGTGTAAAAACTGTTTATTTTTATCTATATTTCTAAAAATAGATTTTTATAATTTTTTATCAAAGTAAGTTTAGTCAAATAAAATTAAACCACATTTAAATTTGACTCTTAGATATTTTATAATTATAAACTATTAGTGAGAATTTGTATAATTTGGAAAGAGAAAGAAATTTATCTCTTTTCTCATTTGAAACTACTTTGAGAATGGTAAAACCTTTATAATTCCATATTGATATTATAATATACAATATATAGATTAACTAAAACATCTTATTGAGATATATTTATAATTGTACAAATTGAAAATGTTTTAAAAAAATTAAATTGAAAATAATAAACATGCAATCTACAAAACTTAAAGGTAGTGATTGAAATATAAAAATATATATTAATATAAATTATTATAATAGATGTAGTAAAGAATGCTATTGTAATATAAGATCATTATAGCATTTATACATTTAAACATTATAGCATAATAGCAAAGGTATAAAGTATTTTTCTATCATAAAAAAATAATTCATTTTTTTTTAATTTTCTATTAACATAAGACCGTTTATAATCCAATAAGAAAACTTCAGTAGTATACTCATAGTGTTTCAAGCCAGTTTCAAGACCGCCGATTGTCGGCATCACCGGCCTTTTAGATTTCAGATTTCTGTAAACACTTGGACTATAATTTTTCGTATACTTGTTATGTTTTGGTTTCAAATGGCCCGTAATGTTTATATGGTTTTCGGGTAATAACATCGCCCGGAAGTTTCTATCGGTATTACGCCCTACTTTTCTTTCGGCGAATTCTCGAAGGTTCTAGATTTTTCTTTGTACACCTTATGTAAGATTCCAGTACAACAACGACGATGCTTTGTTGCCAGCTAAGTGAGCCGCCGCGTGAATATATAAGGCAAAAATGCGGCGTGCCTCGCTCTCTTGTTAAACATTTCTTACCGAACCACCCTAGCTGAACTGAGCTTCCGTCTAACATCTTGCCGTGACTCGACCGCAGTGAACCGACCATAGTGAACCGATCTAAGCATTTACCAGTAGAAGCCATGGCACACGGGTCTCGGTCTGCCCTCAGCAGGAGCGCCATGGAACGGTTGATATTTTCAGCAAGCCGCCACGGAACGATCAAGCCTTCGGCTTCGTGCGCGTAATCAAAAGGCTTATAGGTTCATTGTAATTCTACCTCGTGCTTACTTAACTGTTATTACCGCTCAGTGTTTAGTATATACTGTGACGATGACACGTGGCCACACATTCGGCAGCCTACTAAAATTACACGTGCATTACTAAAAGGAAATCAGCAGATTAGGTAGTGATTTTACAGTGAGCCCAATTGGAATCGTAATCAAAAGGGACATCAGCCACGCAGTAATTCAACATTCCTTGTCGTCAGTTCAAAAGGTACATCTCCTTATATTATTAAATAAGCTAGTCACACGGGCAAACTTACGCTCTCTCGAACTAACACTTCGAAACCGCATAGGCCCGCAAGAGTAGAACGGGCAAACTTACGTGCTCTCGAACACTTTGACACCGCACAGGGCCACAAGAGTCGATCGGGCAAACTTACGCGCTCTCGAACACTTAAACACCGTACAGGCCCAGAAGAGTCGACACAAGTGACACAACACGTCAATTACATTGTCAAGGCCAAACAACAATATATCGAATAATCGACTATAAATACATTTTTATCAAGTCGTTGAAAGTTCGAAGGCTTGTCATATATGACTCTTGCGTGTGACTAGTCTTTTATACTGTTCCCATTATAACTAAAGACATAATTGATTACGCACCAACTTCCATCAAAACTTCTTACACTCTATCAAGTATAGTTATTCCATCTATCAAGTATACTTGATTCAAACACTATCTTTTCATGCTACGCCATGAGCATGATTGACTATACAGGCTAATATTTTTCCTTATAGTATGACCTCAACTTTCAAGATACACAGTAATAGCCATTGAATCTACAATAATCAAGAACACAATGAAACACCCTCACTACTACTATAGAATAATCTTTTCTCTCAACAACAATGCAATATTATTATAATATTGAACAAATAATAAACATTGTTTTTACTAAAAATACATAATACATAATAGTTTTCAGCCCTTCCACTTATTATTTCCTTTTAAGTTATCACGACGAGAGACTAATCGACTGAACTATTGAATTGGCAGTTCAAGCCATAAACAAAACCCTTAAAATCGAACACATAGGTACTACTGAAAAATGGCTGCGTAGGTAATATGGAATGCATCGGAAAAGGTTGAGAAAATATTTAAGGATTGCGCAAGCTAGAGTAACTATTTAAAGTTATAATAAAAAAATAACTAATTAAGTACAAAATGTTATTCAGCAGACCTTTGTTTCTATTGACTAAATAAAAATAGTAACATTTGAGAATATTTAATCAGGAAGTTTATCGTCTATCCATATTATAAATTAATATTACATTAATATCGGAATGCATTCCGATAAATATCACGCTAGAATTCTTGATAATTGTACATACTCTGAAAATAAAACCAATAAAACCAGTTTATATTTTACAGATTACAGGTGTCGAAGAATTCATTAGATAAACTGTATTAACGCTGAAACAGAGAAGATGTGTATGATCGATGAACTGATACTTGATAACACCATAAACATTAAAATTTGACGAGTTGAACATATACACTCGCGAGATCTTGATAGAAAAGAACTTGTAATGCTTGCATGATTTCTGAATCACAGATTCAGTAATATATCGATAATACATGTATTATTTCGAAATTTCAAGATATGAAAAGGGATTGCTATATCGTGTAAACTTTTATACTACATGATTTTCAATTCATCAGACTATTTTTTTTTTAACAATTCCTAATTATTTTATCATTTCATATTAATATTATGTATGTTATGGATAAATATGTTTATCAGACTTCTTCTTTTCTTAGCTGATTTTTTAAATGTAAGCGAATACTTGTTTTCAGGTAATTGACCAATTCATTAATAGTGATATGCTTACACCAATTCACAACAGCAGGAAGATTATATTAAATTGTTTCCTTACAATTCTGAAAAATTTGTTTTGATTTTTCACTTTTACTTATAATGTCTTTTCAATATATATTTAAATGTAGGTATCATTGACTTATCATTAACTTCAAAAAATGTGTATTTTTCTGTTTAAGTTAAATAAGTGTCATCACAAGTATTGATAATAAAAAAAAATAAAAAATTGATTAATTCTTAATATGTTCTGTTTTCTAAATATATTCTTACAATTATATTCTAAAATCTAAATTTTAGCTGTTTATTCTGTAATTTAAATTCTGTAGCTGTATCACATAATTCATATTCAATGTGTTCGAGATTGCGAGAACCTTTCGGGAGTGTCAGACATCTGGAAAGATTCAAGTTTTAAAACATCTGCGTAAAGCAGTTATAGATAAACATCTGGAAATAATCGTTACACGCAAAATTTCCGATATAACGGTACACAGCGTATCCACTGTTGTCAAGTCTACCCATGTTGCCGCTTGTACAAGCTAAGCGTGGACGCTTCAATCAGGAGCTCCTCTCGGCGCGAAGTCCAAGAGAAAAGTGAGCTCCGTAATTGAAGGTGCTGCCGCAAGAAGCGTTCTTGCCGATGTGGCCACTGTCGAAGCCCAACTCTTTCTGAAGATGGAAGACAGAGGAGCGCACGCTCAGTCGTCATTGGAGAAACCTAAGGCAGAGGTGGTCCTTAAGCGGGGACTCACTGTCAGAGGCCTTAAAAGTGGGAACGACACAGATACAATCGCCGTCTACGTGGAGCAGTCAAGGAAAAAGAGGACTCTCACTTAATGGTGATAAAGTAATGATCAAGCTCTAAGTGACCTCCCGATAGAAGGAATATGCATTAATTCTCCTTTCTGTGCTGCAATTGAAAGGTGTTGACGCTATGTCCTTCATACTCTAAAGGGACAGACTACTCAAGACACGCTCCCGCACTTGGAGTGTGCTTAATAATTGCCGATCCTTGCAAAATCGACAACATCACTGTGAACACATAGCATTCCGGATGGTGAACTATTCATCTCAGGATCAGATTAAGGCTACTGAATCTCTGTGAGTGAAATAAGTCTAAGGCATAAATCGTTGCTAATACTTAGTAGATTGGCAAAAGCAATCAAAATCGTTACTAATCCTTACAAGATTAGCAAAGGCTAATAGTAACATAAAACCAAACTTTTATAAGTATACTAAATTATTGTCAATTGTTACCAAACTAGCATCACGCAATGATTAATAGTACAAATTACACTTACTAATAAGGAGTGTGCATAATCAGTTGCTGATACTTACAAGTTCAACAACAACATCAACATCTCAAGGAGCATCTCGAGAAAACAACTTATTCAACACAAGATCAGTTCCAAACAAATGCAAGGACGTGACAGAATATAGTGTATACCCTTCCATTAATATAAATCTAATCAATAATAGTGTAACTGTAAATAAACCATACTTTCTAAGAAACGTATATTGTATTTCTGCAGCCCTTCCACTTAACTCCTTCCCAAGCACCCGCTAGGGCGAGCAGAAATTAGAACTATCGAAACATTGGCAGTTCCGGCCACGAAGTCAAACAATTAAGAACACTATGCAAAATGGATTTTTCTTTCAATATTTTTTTAATCTTGTCTAATTGCTTCTTTTAATATATTAAATATGATTCCAATATTTAAATAATGAGTTATTCTTGTTCATTGATTATTATAAAAAATACGTATTTTATATATATATTATTATATATTATATATATATAATATTATATTTTATATATAGAATTAAATTATATTAAATATTCAATATAAGTTAAACAATTGTATCAAATTTCTATACTATTATTTATATTATTGAAACGGATGATTTAATTAATCGGTAAAATGGCATTAAATAACACTCTAATATTAGTAATTTTTATTATAGTCCATCTTAGTATTAAGTCAATTATCAATTAAGTAAATTCTGATTCACTGTTCAATTAGACATCAATGAAATAAATGATTATATTTTTTACTATCATATTAATTTAAGATGAATAATTAACTTAAATAGTATTTAATAATATGGTATAGTATATAATATATACATATTCTACATATTTATATAGAAACCATTAATACGATTTACAATAAATTATGCTGTATTGTAATATATATATAAAAACAAAAATAATTGTAAATAAATTAATTGGATTATATTGTATATATATATACATAAAACATATTCATTAATTATATTTGTAACAAGGAATAATATAATAGAATTTCATTAGACTCAATAAGGAAAAAATAGTTACCAAGGCCAGCCTGTCCAAAGCAGAATAAACAACCGTCCACTCCGTTGATCACAGCGTGGATAATATCGGTAAGAGCACTCGAGCATAGTTCTGTCTACAATTAAATATTTTTATAGAAAAATGTTGTTATTTATACAAAAATTAATATTTTGGATTAATTATAGATAACAAAATAATTTATAAAGGGTGAAATTAAAGGTTAGTATAGTTTTTTATCGTTTTTTTTTTTAGTTATTTCATAAAAATATACAAAAATTTATATATTTTTAAATTGACTATGATTTAATTTTCTCAATATATTTTATTAGATTATGGTCTGTTATGTTATTGCTCTCGATTCTCCATATTGTTACATTTTTAAATCTTTCAAAATTAGTATTTCTTTGAATCTTGTAAGTATGTAACTACTGTGGATTTATAAAATATATACTGTGTATGTATTTAGAAAAAATTACATTTAAATAGTATTATATTTGTCTATTTATTATTTAAATTATTATTTAAACGCAATTGCTTTTCATACTAATAACAATACAACTATAATCCTTTCAATGCATTGTAATCTTGTTCAAATACTGAAACTCTTCATCTTATTTTATAAAACTCTCATATAATACCTTCAAAAATTTTATAAGTTTTATAACAATTTTTAATAAATAATTCTAAGGTTTAAAAATAGTTTATAAAAAAAATAACCAAGAGTACGAATGTCAGATGTATTGGATAAAATATAGAAAGAATAGGGTTTATTAATGATATAGTATCATAAATCAGAGACCAACAATACAAATAATTCAGAAATTACATACTTATTGAAAAACATTATTATTAATGTAGCTTATTAATAAGTTAGAAGTATTGTATCTGGTTCAAATGAAGATAAAAAAATATAGAAATTGAAGATATAAAAGATAAACAAAAAATATGTAGAAGATGAGAACGTAAACAATAAAATTGATAAACAACACAAAATAATTATCATATAATGATGAAAAATATAGAACAATAAGCAAAAAGAATATATAAATTTTTACAAATTCAATCTTCACATACAAAAGAAAATTCAAATGATATAATGTGAAAATATGTAAAAAAGACATTATTAGCCAATAAAAAATGAGATTTAGTTTAAAAGATATGCTTTGCAGAACCGTAATTATAATAAAAATGAATGATGTTTAAAGTTATATAAAGAATAATATATTTAAACATTATTTGAAAAACAGTAATAATAATATAATAATAATATGTAAAGAACTTGACAATAAATATTTAGTCAATTAAACATTGTAGACAACTTTGTATAAAACATCCTTGTATAAGAAATGATTAAAATCATCTGGATGGTACAAATAGAAAATAAATGAAAATGGGGATCAGTATCTTATCTATATATATGATATCTATATATATATATATATATATGTATCAGTATCTATATATATGAAAAAGATGTATGTCAGAAATTATAAAAATAGTAAAAAACAATATAAGCAAAACAATTTTAAATAAAAAATTGTACAAAGTATAATATTCTCTGTGATTATACTCTGGTAGATTTTTATGGTCTGATTGTTAAAAAGCCTTAGGTAAAATATGTTAAAACTAAAAATTCATTATAATGTAAATTATAATTATTTCTTTATGATATTCTAAAATAATGAGATTATATAATATCCAAATATTAATATTGTAATTATTTTGAAATGATAAAATTAAATCATACAGTATCTAGCGAATAAGATTATTATAATAGTATAGTACTTGTTGGAAAATGATTATATCACCATAATATTCATTAGAAAAAGGATAATACTTTCTTTCAGCAAATTCAAACTTTAATGGACATATTGTTAGGCATTGCATTTTATTTTATTATAATGAAATATTATTGATCAAAATTAATTCAATATGAAATAATAGTTTTTAAAGGTTTCTATAATTACTTCTAAATTACGATATATTTATAATTACTAAATATTCTTTTAGAAATTGGTTTTAAATATTTAAAGATATAATATTTTTGAAATATCTTCTACAATATAAAAAAACCTTCCTGAACAATTATTAAATTTAGAAACTCTGTTAATAACATTTTTGTAAAAAAAAACAAATTTCATTTCAAATATTCAATCATTTTCTAAAATAGTATATTATTTTTAAAAAATTTCATAATTTTAAAATTCTCATTAAAAGTTAAAAGCTAAAATAAATAGAATGTAAAATGTTTTTATAATTCAGCAAATAAGAAAAACTATGAAGCAACAAATGATTTAAAAAGATATTTTCTTTAAATAAATTATTTAAATGAATTTAGGTATTCTAAAACTGATGAGATTTTAAGAAAATATAATTAGAAAAAAAGTGAATCGAGTATGTTAATTTCATTTAAAGTTGATAAAATACCTGTGAGTCTTCTCCAGTAAATATAGCATCAAAAGTAAACATTTTTGGTGCTGCAATGATTTGTCTATGTTCTTCTGTCATTGACGAATGATCAGGATTAGGATCGATTAATGTTAACTGTTTTTTTCGCTTATCTACACTAAAAAAGCAGCTACCATCTCCAGATGAAATTCTAAGCATTACTTTTATCTGAAATAACAAATAAAAATATTAAATCATTAAATTTTTTTATTAAAAATTGCCATGAGAAATATGCATATTTTTACGATAAAATAAAATTGCAATTAATTTTCAATTGTTGTATGTTACGTGAATGGATTGTAATTTAATTGAGATAAATCACTATTAAAATAATGATGTAATTAAATTTATAAGTTTTTATAAAATTATAAATCAAATAAGAAATACAAATTGATACCTAAAAGAATTGAAACATATTACTTAAAAATAAAATAAATTAATTAAAGTATTAAATACATAGTTTAAAAGAATGGTAATAAGGTTTAATAACGACAGACTTACTGTGATAACGTCTATGAAATTGGAAATCAGAAAATTAAGGACGAAATAGAATGAACTCGCAATTTCTATAAAGCTAATATTGAATAAAAATGGAAAATCGATACTTTTAACTACATGTAGTATTTTGTTTCATTGTATTAATAACATCGCAAATATAATATCGTTTCTTTATGATACATTAAACATCATTAAAACACTCAATATAAATAACGATAAAAATTGATAACAAGAACGATAAAAGCATGACACTAAAGTATTTTAAACATAATTTTAAAAAATGTTAATAACATGAATATCTAAGTTTATTTTATTTAAAAATATCACCTTCAACAGCAATTCTATTATATTACACGAGAAAGTCTGAAAATTTTGCTTAAATTTTTATATACTGCTTAATCATTGCTCCAATACTATTGTAATAAAATGGGTTATTCTTTAACAAGATTGAATTTTAATGTTCCACTTTCAATTTTATAATATCTTTGCTTGATTGTTGTAATTTTATCAGATATATAGACTACGAATTCAAGAAAATGTAAATATAAATTGACGAAATGCCATTGATATATTTTAATAAATGCAAATTAATAATATTAATCAATGAACAAAATTTATCATATTTATATATTGAAACTCTTAACCGAAATTTGTTAAATACAACATTTAAAGAAAAAGAAATAAAATTATTTATTGAAAGAAACTGAATATTTCATAAGAAATATACTATAATACATTAATCACCGTAAAATTCCTATAAATATTTTTACACATTTAATATGTAGTAACATATAAACACTTGTTACATTCAATAAAATTGTTTCATTTCAATACATTTCATCATACTCAAATTGTTTGCAATTTATTTAAATTATTTTAAGAATTGTATAAGTTAAAATATAATTAAATTGTTCGGAATTTGAGCATTTTCCAAGACTAGCTTTCGGAAATTTATGAGTCTTTTAACTCTCGAGTTTTGTAAACATTTGATTAAGAGAATTACATCGCTGTGAGTACCTGCTGTGAGTAATACAGAAGTAATAAAATGCCAACAAGGCCTTTTAAGTGAGGAAACCTCAACAAGTTACCATCTCGTGGCATTACACGAACTGTCAAGAGATTTACGACCTCTTACTTCTCAGTGTAATAAACTACCACCAAGCATACTACGTCAAGAGGATCCGGAGTTTACGCCCTCTGCATGTAGTGCATGATAATGCCCCGTGACAACCACCACGGAACTGCAAGATTTCAACGATTTTCATCATCAACTTAGAATCATTATTGTGTAGTTTGTAAAGTAAAACGCAATAAACAGCACGAAAAACAAATGTATTAAATATTGAATTAATGCGCTATCCCTTTCACTTGTCCGCACTTTTCTCCCACCAGGAAACTGGTCGCCATAGTCTAATTCAATCATCTTGGTCTTTCGACCACCGGATGACTGGAATTATAAACAGATATAATGATGTAAGATATAACCAGAAAAATATAAGGAAAAATGTAAGAAAAGAAATACGGTAGTTCTTAATGTTTTACATTTAATGTGACATTACATTACATTTAATGATAACCCTTTAATATAATTAAAAATATAAAGTTTAAATAAAATATACTGTTAATTCTTATTAGATAAAAACAAAAATATAATTAATAAGCTATCAGTATTCTATACGATGCAATTTAATATAAATTAATTCTAGTTTATATATAAAAAATACTATCGGAATTAACAACAAAGAATCTATTTAATTTGATTGCTACGAAGGAAAATTTAAAAAATGCCATATAAAATATATATAATAAATTGTTCGAAACTTTTATTTTCTGGCTCGAACTGCCAATGTTTCGATAGCTTTAATTTACCGCTCGCCCTAGCGGGTACTGGGAAAGCAGTTAAGTCGAAGTTCTGTAGAATAAAGGTAAAATGTAAAATGTGTAAAATAATAAATCTTCGATAAATATGATTTATTATGGTTGATTTACAGTTACATTATTGATATGTTGAAATTATGCGATGGAAAGGTCTATCCTATTTTCAATCACGAAGATGCCATAGCTTGGACCTGTTCCTATGGTTGATGGTTTATCTACTCGAGATGGTTCTCCATGAAAGTGATATTGTTGGTCTTGTAAGGATCAGCAACTGATTATTCAAGTTCCTGATCAGGGAGTGTCTTTTTCGTCTGGCGTTTTCTTGATATGTAGAAGATAATATCAATACGTTTTAATTGCAGCACGGGATAATTGATTCGTCTTCCTTCTATCGTGATGAGTAGTTTGCTGGTCGACTAGACTTCATGCCATGACTGACTGCCTTAATGACCGAAAGTCTGCTAATGTGCCTCGTGTTGCACTTATATCATTTCGGATGTACCGGCTTTTCCGACTCTTCAATTTTTTTTAGAAGTTATTACCGTTGAATCATTTCCCTGAAATGTTAACTGTTGAGGTTTTTCCTTGATATGAAATATAACCTTTGGAATTTTTCCCCTAATGCATAAAACATTATTATAACTTTAATAATATTTAGCTTAGCAAAAGTAGAGAATACCTTTATTTGACGTATACTTAATTGAATTTTAATTGACTAACTATCTATGGCGTAAAGAATATAAAATTAAAATAAAAGTTATATATTTGTATAAATCAAATGTAAATATGTATTATATTAATTTTACAATGTACAAAAGAATGTTTAATTGTAAAAAATAAAATAAATTATTTTAATATAATTTAAATGGCAAATTATGTATATAAACATAAATTAATAAAATCTCAATTCAAATATTTAAATTGTAATAATAAGAAAATTTGTTTCAATTTTTTCTTACCTGTATAAAAACCAAATTATTAGAATGTATGTATATATTATTTAAATATCAATTTATTTATTAGTAGATATAATGCATTATTTCCGATAATGGCCAACTTAAAAATTTTACATTTTATTTTATAATATTATTATAGTAAATATTTTCAATCCAATAACTATATCAATTTTTTATTTTCTATTTTCTACATTTCAAATGTAATATTTAAATTTTTAATGAATTGAGCATCATAAATATTATTTGTTGAAATATTCTAATTTTATTTGATGACGCAGTATGATGCTAATTAACAAAATAAGTATTTTAATGATTTTATTTGCAAAAACTATTATTCACGAATGAAATGAATATTGATAATTTCCCAGAAGGAAATTATGAGTATATAGCATATAGACTATAAAGATAATTTTATATTTGTATATTATATGCATGATTGTAAATATCATATTTTGTATCATGCATATTTTTCGATAAATTATAATAGCTTTCATTATCAGTAATTATCTTTATTAATAATTGTCTTTAATAATAAATTTTAAAAAAATCAAAAAATAGAAATACCATCCGTATGAAAGTGATCATAGTAATATTCTTAGTGGTACAACTTTTTTAAAAATCGAATATATATTTCTTATATTATCTTTATAATAATATTAAAAAGATAATTAATTAGGTTTGCAATTAATTAATTAAGCTTGAATGATTATATATTCATTTTATTTATTTTATTTTATTTATTTTATAAATTTTTTATTTTAAATTTTTATATATTTCTTCATTATTGAATAATTCTTAATATTTATTTGTGTGTGCTGCACCAATACATTATATATATAGTAAAAAATATACATAGCAAAGAATCTAAAAAGTAAACTAATAAATGAAGCGTTAAAACTTGGTACATAAAGTGAATCAAGCACAAAATATAAATCAGAATAGTGATAAAGCTAATAGTAGTAAACAATTAAATGAAAATAAAGAGAACAGATATCAACTCATCAAGCGATGATGAATATATTATATATACATATATATATATATATATATATATAAATAAATTTTTACAATGCAAGATCTATTCTTGGAGTATAAAATAAAAATACAAATAAAATCTTTATTTACATATTTTTTAAATTACATTACTTTCTTTGCACTTTCTTCTCTTATAATTCTTTTTTTAATTATACACACTCTCCCTTTCACTATAATGCCCTTCTCTTTCTTATTTATTTCATAACTTTGCAATGCAATAAAGCATGTATATCTGTTCGAGATTGATGCAGTTTCCACGAATTTAAGAAAAAGTGGGTCATACGCGCTGTACGGCGCACGGCATGCGTACTCGGACCGGGACGTGCACTCAGGCGAATGTTTATAAACAAAACTTGGCAAGTCCCAGCAAGTTTTACGACATGAAATGTAATATACTATAAGATCACACAAAGGTATTACGCCCTACTTTACTTTCGTCGAATTTTCGAAGGTTCTAGATTATTCTTTCTACGCCTCCTGTAAGAATTAATGCAACAACGACGATGCTTTGTTGCCAGCTAAGTTGAACCGCCGCGTGGATATATAAAGCATAAATATATAGAAAATCTCTCTTGCTGAAAGCCTCTTGCTTGCTAACCGGCTCTCTTAATGAACCACCCTCGCTGAACTACGCTTGCGGCTAACATCTTGCCGTGACTCGACCGCAGTGACCGACCATAGTGAACCGATCTAACCATCTACCAGTAGAAACCATGGTACACGGGTCTCGATCTGCCCTCAGTAGGACCGCTATGGGACGGTCGGTATTTTCAGCAGAGCCGCCACGGAACGATCAAACTTTCGGTTCGTGCGCGTATTCATACGCTCATACGCTCATTGTAATTTTACTTCGTGCTCACTTAAGTGTAATTGCCTCTCAGTGTTTTAATATACTGTGAAGACGATACGTGGCCACACATTCGGCAGCCTACTAAAATTACACATGCATTACTAAAAGGAAATCAGCAGATTAGACAGTGATTTTACAGTGAACCCAATTGAAATCGTAATCAGCCACGCAGTAATTCAACATACCTTGTCAGCAGTTCAAAAGGTACATCTCTTTATATTATTAAATAAGCTAGTCACACGGGCAAACTTACGCTCTCTCGAACTAACACTTCGAAACGGTACAGGCCCGCAAGAGTCGAACGGGCAAACTTACGCGCTCTCGAACTAACACTTCGAAACCATACAGGTCCACTAGAGTCGATCGGGCAAACTTACGCTCTCTCGAACTAACACTTCGAAACCGTACAGGCCCTCAACAGTCGACACAAGTGTCGCTATGCGTTAAACACGTTGTCAAGGAAGATCAACAATAGATCGACTAATCGACCATAAATACATATCATTAAGTTCTTCAAGAGCTCGAAGGCTTGTTATTAATGACTCTTATCTGTGACTAGACTCGTTACTGTTCCCATTAATAATTAAAGCATAATTGATTTCTTACTAAATTCCAGTTGATCATAGATATTCCATATTTGAGCATACTTGATTCAAACGCCATCTTCTCATGCTAACATGAGCATGAATGACTACACCGGCTGATATTTACAACATCAGCATTACCTCAACTTCAAGATACACAGTCATATCCATAAAATTATTACGATATATACGATTTTTAACTTATAATTTACAACATAATAGTTTAATATTGCAAACACAATGATTATTTCAGTTTTTATTGTTGTTTTAATACAAATTAATATCTATTTAATAATAAATAATAGGAAAGATATGCAAATCTTTCTTTTTACTTACTTTTGTTTTAAATAATATTATAATTAATACCTCTGGAATGCCTTTCGATATATCTTTTCATCTTTCTTTTATACTTTCAATATACAGTGTTTGCCATAATATTAAATAAAGATAAAAAATAAAAATGTATGTGAATGAGTTAATTTATATATAACTTCATAAGCAAGTAAAAAAAAAATATTTACAATCCTAGAATGTGGTGTATCTAATTTATTTATATGGAATTAAAATATATATTACATAGAAATGATATATAACGAATATTGCCAACAGACTATAGTAAATATCAAATATCAAATATACATATAAATATAAATTTTGAAATTTATATTTATATGAAGTATGTAATTTTTACTTAAATGAAAAATATTTTTAAATTTAGAAAAGATTAATAAATTTTTAAAATTAAATGTATTCGATTAAGCTCATTAAGAAATGTACTATTAAAAAATTATAAACGCAAACAGTAATTAATTATGTACAATACTTACTTTTCCCACTCCAGAAAGTTGTTTTGTACCTATTCTTCTAAGTAAGTTTCGAGGTGTTGGAGGTGGAGATTTGAATATCAATGATGCATAACCGTTTGCGTAAATGATTTGTTCCTCTAATACTGGGGTTTCGTCATCGAAATGCCACTTACGATGAGGACTTGATACTAAATTTAGTTTTTGTATTTTTCTATAAATAGATATAATTTTTTATATTTTAACAGATTTTCAATTTTGACATTGAGATTTACTCACTATCATTCGTTTTGACTATTTATCTTATTATTTTTTAAATATTACCAGTAATCTTTAAAATATTTATAAAAATGTGTTAACTGCGAATTTCAGCAATAAATTAAATTTATAGGGTGGTTTCCTTAATATAACAAAGGAAATCGTTTTTAGATTTTAAATATAAATATAAAATTATAAATAATTAAGTATAAATAAATAATATATTTTCAATATATATAAAATTATTCGATTTAGAAAATGTCATAATAAAACTTTAAAAATGGTTTGCACTTTTTTTTTATTATTAAAACGGAGACTTACTTTGGATGCAAGTCTGAAGATTACGAAAAATAATAAATTCTAGTGAATAAATAATTAAACATGGTAGATTTTTTAATATTATTCTCGTATACCATGTGCGCACAAATCAACTTATAGTAAGCAATATATAAAGAAAATGAGGCAACGTTAAATTTTTCACAACAAATTAGTTTTTTTGAATAAAGTGATGTTAATATAAATTTTTATTGTTAGACTTCAAAAAAATATTATATTACAAATAATAGTAACTGATAATAATAATTATATTTTATTATAATATGCATTATAAATCATAATAAATAATAAATAAATACTATGCTTCTTATAATCATAGTAATTGAAAGTATTTAAATATTTTTTACTTTACTTTCGAAGTAAAACATGAATATAAAATGCCCTCAATTAAATTCATGTTTATAAATTTCATATCACTGACTTTATATTTTTAAATATATGGAAATACATAAAACAATGCATGTATTTAGTTCGATATAGAATAAAAAATAAAGAACTATATAAAGTTATACTAAAATGAAATAAATACTAATACTTAAGTTTCTTTTTTACTTTTATGTATGCTTTCAAGCTTAGTTGTACTTTTGACAGTTCGACTAAAAAGTGATAAATTTTTATTAAAAATTTAATTATATTACTTTGCATAAAACTAATATTTATATAAATAAAGATAATTACACCAAAAAAACAATATACGAAAATATAGAAGTAATATAGTTTAAATAAATATAAAAATAATTATATTTAATATGAAAATTTTTCATTTATCTTTCTGGCAAGTCTAATTGGTGTTGTTACTTTGTGTTTTAGGAAGCGTCATTGTTGCAAAACGCAGTGGTAGTATGCGACGAATAGAAAAGATTATATAGTTGATCAAAGTATGTAGCATGGGTTAAAAAAATAAAAAATATATAACTTATGAATAGGAAATTTATAATTTGATAGAATTTCATAATTCCAAGTAAATAGAAAAAGTTCAATCAGAGCCTTTGATTCAATCGTAAATCAAAGATTAAGAATTGTAGACAAAATCCACCAGTTAAGATCATCGGTATAGAATGACCATGTGTACTTCGGTATGTAATACTTTTCTATAATATAACTAGTATTTTTAATTCTCAAGGTAGCGATTCTATGAATGCACACAATATGGAAGGTATATGAAAATGAGAAATATATCTTTATTGCACACTACAGATAAAAGAAATGGAGGTAATAAAAAATAGTACAGTATTTAACCTTCTTAAAACAATAATTTTTTAATTTTTTTATTGTAAAACTAAAGTATATTACTATTTAATCAGATCATATTAATATTTACAACGTTATATTTATTACAGCTTTAATTGCACAGACCTGCCATTGTAATTCATTTAATTAGTTTAACTAGGTTGACATTTTGATTCTAAAATTTCTAATTTTGAGTAAAACTAAACAAATTAGATTTAATGTGTTCATACTGTACTTTTATAGTAACATATCTAGTTGTTGTTCTGTTTATTCCGTTAATTTCCAATTACAAGGATGATTATTATTACTGTTACCAATTGTTGAACCGTTGTTGGGTATATTATATTTTATATATTTGCGGTGGCAAACGCACCTTAATCCTGAGGTAATTGGATGTTCTACCTTTCTCTCTTGGCGTAGTGTACTAATGTACTAGCTATGATAACTGGAGTAGTTGATACTACTTACGAAGACTAATCGTGGACTCAGTTGAGGGACTTTCCGCTTCTTTCATCAATGAGGACTTTAACAATGGTACTTGTCTTCGGACTCTGATAAGGGAAATTTACGTCTACTTTTCTTGAGGACTTATAACGAATGTTGTCTGAACTACGTTAAGGGAGTTTCCACTTCCTATTAGAATAAGGACTTTATCGAGAGTGATAAATTTGTAATTGTCTCTCTTAAATATATTTTGACTATGGTTTTCACTTGGGATTCCTTTCCCTTTTTGTGTCCAATCAGAGCGCGGCTTTATGGGCAGCATGATTGAGCATGCACGCTTCTTTTCCCACTTCCAAAGAATTTAGGCTTTGGAGATGATAACATCGAAGTGTCTTCGGCGGCACCGCTTACAATTAGTCGACTTGCCCCTCTCTTGGACTTAGCGACGGGGGGGGTCTTGGTCAAGCGTTATGGCTCAGCTCGTGCAAGAGGCAACTTTCGGCGTACTTGACAACAATGTATGCATTGTGTCTCATGACATTGAATGCGCACGTGTGCCGAAGAATACCCGTTGTCGCACGTGTAGGGTTTTAAGTTGCAATGAATTTTTGGAATTGTTTTTCTACTCGATAGTTTACGTATATCTGTCACTCTCAAAATGTCCTAGCATAAACAAACTCGTCGTGTTCTTTCCAGTAAACAAGATCGTGTAATAACGGGACAAAAAACAATGAGTGCGTTTGAAATGCGAAAATAAATACAAATGACTATTCACGAGTGTTTTCCAGATGTACTGACCTTTTCGAGCCGCCAATGACCGTGGGATGTTTTATGGCAAGGAAAAAGTTCTCGCAATCTCGAACACTGTATATTAAAATGAAACTTGGATGTATCTTAAAATAAAACTTAGATGTATATTAAAAGAAATCTAGTTTTCTTTTATTTCTTAAGCTTATTCTAGATTTTCTTATTGATAGTTTATATTGAGAAAGAAATTAAATGAAAATTTTAAATACAAATAAAATTATCAAATAAAAAATATTTTATTTTTATTAATTAAAAATAAATATTGAAATATGAACTAGCATTACAATACATTTATTCTTATATATTTTTTAATATCTATTTAATTATTTATTAATTATAAATGTGAAAATCAAAATTTTCATTGTAATCTTTACAAATGGATGTTTAATATTTAATTATTTAATTACATAGATAATGACAATGAAATATGTCGTAAATACTATAAATATATTGAATATTAATAAAGAATAAATTTTAAATTATTTAAATTAAAATTTTTAATGAAACAATGAGAACTTTTGTTTTTTATATATTAATATTATTGTATTAAATTTTATAATTAATAAACAATAAATATCTAAGTTAAACAAACATAAAAATTTCAAATTAAATAAAAAAATGATAATTGCCAAAATAATACATGAAATTTGTTGTGTCATTAATTGTTCTTATTTTAACGTTTTAATTGCTTTATATTAATTTTTAATACTACAGATAATTTAATTATATATATTTATATAATCTGAAAAAAAATTATGAAAAATTTTTAACATTTGAAAATTAATTTTAGTGCACTTTAATTATTACTTAAAGTAAAAATATATTTTTATGCAAGAAGATATTTATTCTTATACATATATGTATATTGATTTATATATTTACAATTAAATAAGTTGACATTCATTCAAAACCCATACAAAATGAGTTTGCTCAATTGAGATTCATTATATAAAAATATAAGAATATTTAAAATATAACCAAAAATATTCAGTTATTATAATAATTTATAATTATTATTTCATTTCCATATTAATATGTATTCATTCTAAATTAATTAAATAATAATAAAATTATAAACTTTAACAATGTTTGTAATTAATAAACGATGAAAGTATATGTACTAACACATTAACGTAAATCTAATATTATAATTAGTAAAAAATCATTTTTCATAACTATTTAAATAAATTAAATAATAGAATAGAATAATAGAAATTAGATTTTAGAATATGTAACGGATAATGCAAAAAAATGTCTAAACTGTTTATTAATTTATCAAATAATATTTGTTTATTATACTATTTAATCTTGATTTGGATCATCGGGATATAAAATTTTTGTATAAATATATTCTTTAAAATAAAAAATTAATACCTTGAGGATTCACTTCCTTCCTTATTTGATGCCATAATGTATTTTAGTCCTGATTTGTTCTTGGGATTAACATGTTCGCAACTTTGTCTCGAACATTTTAGATTGGATATTTTCAGGTTTGATTTATATTTAAATAATATACAATGTAAATTTTTAGTGCAAAAAAAATATCTTCTTGAGTACAATCATTCTAAAGAAAATGGAGTACTAATCGATAATCACAAAATAAATTATTTAAAAATATTAGAAATAAGAACTACTTTGAAAAGGAATTTCACTTTAACAGTCCTATAAAATAAATATTATGAATCGTGAATAAATTTTATACACGGGAACACTGAAAATATTTTAAAGTAATGAAAATCACAGAAACAAAGTCTATATACTTATTAAAGCAGGGTTCACACCAATGAATTAAAATTAAGTGACTTGTGTTAATCTTGTGAAGATGAAAATTTTCTTTATTCGTTATTAGTCAATATATACTTATAACGTAAGGTAATAACATTAACAGGCTTAGCAAGAAAAATTTTAAGTAGAAGATAATAAAAGCGAGCGATTTTCATGTTAAAGACAGATTTCAATAATAATAATTTATCAGAATCATGAATATCACTGTGCTTACAATATTGTACTGAACGTATTTAAATATGTTACTTTTTTCTGATTATAAACAGTTTTTTCAGTTATATTTGTTTTAAGTTTATCTAATAATTATAGATTTGAATACTTAAAATACTTTTTATTTATTTATATTCTTTTAATAGTGTAAGGTACAAGCATTAATAGTGTAGATGAGGTTTAGCGATATTCTGCATCTTTTGAATGATACTTTATCATGTAAACAAAATTTTACTATATGACATTGTGATGCTTGGGAAAAAAGGTAAATTTTTACGTAATAGAATTTTACGCGTTTTTTACGAAAAATAAATTTCGATCCAAGCACCACTAGGCCACTGAGCTGACACAGCCGGTTCAGCCTTTAACCCCCGTGAAACTACCAAATGTTATGATACCTTTTAGGGTAGCTGTTCAATGGATGCTTTTTGCGCATGCGTACAATTAATAACATAAAAATATAAAATACAATATTTAAAAATATTTTATAAACATAAACGAAAGTTAATATTACATTCTAAATTTATACAGTTACCATATATTTTATGTAAAAAAACAATATTAATTAATATTATATTAATAAATAATAAGTAATAAATATTAAATCAATTGTTTTTATAGAATCTTTTGAAAATCTTGCCTACAATAATATGATTAAATTAATAATGCTTATTTTTTATATATTGTAAACACTCAACTTATCATATTTAATTTTTTCTTTAAAGGTTATTCGCAATAATTTATAAAAGATTTATAACTGACTTAAAATAAAATTTTAAAAAGTATGTAAATAATTCATATTTATTTTATTTACATTTTACTATCATTTTCCTTTTTAAATTTCATATTGAGAATCTTTACTTGATTTAGTTTAAAACTTTTTCACCATAAATAGCAATTTGTATGTCATTAGTTAATATGCGAAATATATTATATTTACGTCACAAAATTTGTTGATATACATTATATTCTTCAAAATTAAATATAAAATTTGTTTATTTAGAGGTTTACAAGACTTTCATTGTCGATGAATACTGGCACAAAAATCGAACTTACTATAAAGAAAAACTAATACTTTCGACTTAATAAACAATAATTGTAATTTTCGCAATATTATTGATCATGGAAAAATAACAACAGGAAGAAACAAACTAAGTTAGGAGACAGTAATTAGTAATTCAAGTAAAAAAAAATTAAGGAGACTCATCTATAAAGAAAATAAAAGTTTAAAAAAAATTAAATAATTATACAAAAATATTAGAATGATCATATTAATTTACCACATTTTAAAATGTATTCAGAAAAAATAATATAGAAAAAGAAAAAAATTTCAACTAAATTATTAATAATAATTTTCTTTACTTATTTTGTTCTGACTCAGCAAATGTCAAGACCCTTGAAAAAGTTGTTTTTATTAATTAATGAGATAATTTATTATATAAATTGGACATTCATTTAACATTAAATTAGAAGATGAAAGCATTCTCTGAATAATTTGCTAAAATAAATCATATAAACATTAACAAATGCAAATGCATGTACGCATGCTCATGCAGTTTTGTAAATATAATATTAAATATGAAAAAAAAAATCTCTAAGTACTACTTTTTCGAATTAATTGAAAAATTACAACAAATTTACTAAAATTTTCAATAAAACTTACAGTAATTTTCTAAATACTTAATCATTTCTGTAATATTCAAATATATTATATTGCATATAAATAAAAGATTAACTTTTTCAAGTCAATTTTTATTTCAATGTAGACAATTTAACAATATTTCATTATATTAATTCGATTTATTATTTAATAGTCTTTGAGATATTATAATTTCTGTATCTTTTATTTCAATAACAAAAAAGTAATATTATATTTTTTATATCATACTAAAAGAGTAATTTTCCTTGCATTAATAAAATGTTTTTCACTATTTAATTTGAAATATCATTATAAAAAGTGAAGTATTAATAATCAATATTTAATCCCTCAATGATTGTTACTTTAATTTATAAATCATCATAATCATCATAAAACTCATTAATTAAAAATATAAAAAATAATTTGTTAATTATTATGAACATTATGAATTTTATTTATGTTTGTTCTTTTGCAACCTAAGAATGTGATATAGCAACATGTTTTAAAAGTTAAGATATTTTTACAATTTTCTTAAAGTTACTTTAATGTATAACAAAAAAAATTAAAATATTAAATGTTCTGATAATGATAAGATAATGGAAATCTTATAATAATAAAAATATATATTTACAACTACTGCAATAAATTGCAAATTACTCAAAGAAGTAATTTAAAATAAAAGATAAACTTTTTAGTTTTTCTATCAAGAATATTTAGTATAAAACGTGTATTTAGTTAAAATGTGTACATTAATTTACTAGAGTTAAAAATGACGGGATCGTGTGCATTTTTAATACTTACGTTTGTTGTTATTATTTCAGCATCTTGTAGTTACAACAAGAAGGTAATATTACTCATTCCCGACTATATTAAATAATATAATTGTAGTTATACAATATACCTATATGTCACATAAATTTCATCTTATTTTAATTTTTTCATTCATTTAATTATTTTCAAAATAAATTATCAATTTAATTATTAGTAACTGTTATATTGTAGGAAGATCCAAAGATTCATATAATTCGAATCAAATCGTCCGATAAAGTATTGGTAAGGTTTGTTTCAACATTAGTAAAAAATGAATACTTTAATGAAAGAATCTATACATTATATTGATTCTAAAAAATGTACTTACATTAAATTTTCATTTAGTATTATTTAAATTTATAATTTTATATTACAATATTTTTTATTCATGTTTGATATATAAAATTAATTTTACATGAAAATTGTCTAGTTTGAATCACTTTCATTAAACATAATATAATACACTTATGTATCTAAACAGCAAATATTATCACAATCTACATAACTTGTATATTAAAAGGATCAACCACGCGTAGTAGAGCTTCATTTTCCTCATAATGTATTGAATCGTCGACGCCGTGAATTTAATGTTAGTTTTCAAAATTCCAATTATGGCATACAAAACAAATCAAAAATGGCCAACGAAAAATATACCTGAACAAATTTTTGAGGAGATCGTAAGTTATAATAATAATTATTATTATAATGTAATATTAATATACTTCTAATAAACTAAAAATAAAGTAGTCGCTTGTTATTTAATTATACCAATTTATTTTTCGATACTAAATAATTTAATTTTCATATTACTTTATTTACTTATAGTATTCAAATACAGTAATTATTATAAAATATTAGATCTAAAAGCATAATAATTCGTCAATAAGACTTAGAAACAAAATTTTTATTATATATATATTTATAAGAAAATTTAATGTTTTATTCTTGAATGGTCTATTTATAGCTTTAATGTCAGTATATAAAACTGTATTTAATAATTGATTTAATATTTAATAATGAATATTTTATATTGTCTTGAAATCATAATAAACAGTAATTTAAAGATAATCATTTAATGATAAATATACTTGGATGTAAAAGTAAGTAAAATTCAAAATAAAGCATGATTATCTATTAAATGAATTTAATGCAATATGATTATTACATTCTTGGACATATGAATATCATTATTAAAAATACATAATTCTATTAATAAAATATGAGATATAATTTTTCTTTTAAAAACAGTATAATTTTACTAAATGCAATTATTCCATAAATTAAAAAAAATAAAATTAATCTTTAATGTTACTCATTTTTTATTTTCTATTGAATGAGTCAATATTTATTAGTACATTGATAATTTAATAGTTTTTACCAAATATAATTATATTAATTTTAAATACATAATTAATTTTTGTACTTCAAGAAATGACTCTTTATTTTGAAGTGATTATATTACTTTTTAATAATTTGAATATACATGTTTACAACTTTATATGTTCAATATACAAGTATATATATATATAATATTATTTCATTATATTATATGTTTATGTATTTACTGAAAAATCTAATTTCTAATATAGACCAAGTGGCTGAACTAAAAATGAAAACAGTACAAAATATAAATTACATATTTACCCTCTGCTTTACAATCTATTTATGCTACTTTTTTTATTACAGACAAGGAAATCAAACACTCCAGACTTAGTAATTGCAAAAATGTAAAAGAAAAATATACAATAAAGAAAATTTTTCATAAATTGTCTTATTTATTTATTTGCATGTTATTGCATGTTATGAATATAGATTAATAATTTATACTACAAAGGTATTAATAATATATACAAATGTAAATACAAATGTACTAATTAAATAATTATACAGTAATTTCTTAAACAAATAAAAATATAAAAAATCATTTGAAATAAAAATGAAGTTTAATAAAATATTTTATATATTTATATAAGAAAATGTATGCCGTATCCATGTTTAAAAAAAAGAGTTATTATTACTGAATATCTGAGTATAACTTAAAGAATAATTTAATATGCTTTTTTTAATTTTTAAAAGTAATTTAATAATAAAAATCATATTTATATGAACTTTATATTTTCTTCTATCTATAAGAAAAAATAAATGAAAAATAATACATGGAATTTAAAAGAAAAGAATCAAATAAAAACATTAATTTTTTATGATTACATCATTCATATTTTATGAATATGAATAATATATTTGTCACTAGTTAATTGTTTATAAAAATGGAAGAAATCCTAGTATTTAATTTATAGAAATTTATTTAGTTACTAAAAGACCATTAATTTCAGTTGAAATGGTGAAATAAATAGAATTATTTAAAGAAAGTTTAATAAAAATTGTCAATATGATAAATATTCCTTAAAATTGAAGCCTCTTTTTATGACATTTCAATCAAGTATTAGCAGGTCAATAAAAATAAATTAAAATTGAGCGGTTATGAGAATCCAGGAAAAGAAAAGAAAACAATCATATTGGATGTATTAGTTGCAGTAATAATGATCTTAGTCTTTTAACTATTTCAAAACACCTGAACATAAAATTGACGAACAAACATTTCATTACCTTTCTGTTGTATTGATTTTCAAGTACAGACATGTTGATCTTGAATGTTTGGAGTTGTAATATATAAATCAATCTATTTTTGTACAGATTTAGTTATATTCTAAACTTCCAACAGCTCTTCAAAAATACAACTTCTTAACACAACTCTAAACTTCTATGGCCAGAAACCATTGCTTCAATAATAAACTTCTATATGTATTAATATTCGAATGATCGCTTCATTTTTTATTTTATTTAATTCAATTGTATATTCCAAAAGCTTCTAAATATTTGTTATTCTAATTGTATATATAAAATAGGTGTTAGATACATTTTATTTGTAATAAATACTTTTCCTCTAATTTCATTCTTTGCACTTTGCATGTGTCTGCAGGATTATCAGTAATATTAAAGTTACCCCAATTAAATTTGTACTTAGAGATTACTTAATATGTAGTAGAAAAGATAACATGAGAACTTAATAAGTGCAATTGCAAGATACTTAAATGTATAATTATTAGTATAAATTAAAACATTAATAACAATATATTTTATTAACTAGTAAATAATTTAATTAATGTAATAAATGTCTACCTCAATCAATAATCAAAACTAATGTCATTTGGGATTAATTAATCAAATCTTATGTTCTCCAGTGAGCAGGCATCATTTATTACACCAAACTTTTGTTGTGTGTATGATTTTCATGTTCGATGCTGTAATATGCTGACTATTCGGGTTCTATTAATAGATAATGAGTATTTTACATGGGGATCGAATGAGATATTTATTAAGTGTAATTTTTAGTAAATTTTAATTAATCATATGTTGACAAAATATTATTGAATTTGAACTCTTATTTGATATAAAGAACCTTTGTCTAGTTATTTATCAAATCAACTGGTTAGATTATTTATATAATATACACTTAATAATTATTTTATTAAAAAAAATTGTTATTACAAATATATTTTACTTTACCTTATTTTATAAGTTAGTTGAGCATTTTAGCGTAGATTTTAGTAACATATGGCGAATAAAAGAGTTATTTAATAACTAAAATTTATATTACTAATATTTATTACTATTTTATTTCATTGATTGTAAATGTAATAAAAATGCTAATGATTTTATAGTAATAGATATTTTACAAAAATTACTATAAAAAAAAACAACCATTAACATATTATACACTCACATTTATTTATGCCAGATTGTTATTTCATCGTAACTAAAATTATTTTAAAAATGAAAATATTTTTATAATAAAAAATAATTATTGTTGTATATTAATGAATCTACATTTTATCGATGTAGATGTTACAATTATTAGTCCTATTTTAGTTTTTTTATAATGAATTCAAATCTAATATTTTTTGGATTAAAATTAAAAAAATTAATCATTTATAAATGTACTTCTTTTTATTGTTTAAAATATAAATTATTGATTATTAAACCTAATTGGAACCTGTCATTTAATTTAAAAATTTCCGTTATGTGCATGCGCAAAAATATTATTGGATAATATAGTACATGAAAATGTATAGTTATCTTCAAATTATAATAGTTGAAGAATTGTCTTGTTAATTTATTTACCCATAATATAAAACCATCATTTAAAATATTTAATTTACATTATCGTAAGATATAACAAGACTGTAATGTTTCTTGATATTAAATAATAACTATAATAATAATAATTTAATAAAGTATAAACTTCTTAATTTAATTAACGAGTTCAATAAAAAAAATAAGTGATGTAGTCATAATATATAACTTTAATTCTTAATTCATTCTAATGATACTTTTTATGTTCTCGGCGGGTAAATTAAGTTATAACATAGGATTTACGTAAGTAAAGTTTTAATTTTTTAAGTAGAATCGATGGACATTGATAACTGATATCTTGAATTAAAATTTTCCACTGTTAAAGTTAACTGTTATGTTGCTAAATTAATTAAACAAATGATTAAATTAAATAAATTAGATATATTTATTAGTAATTTTTATTACTTCAATTTCATTCCTTGGCTAGATGCATACCATAAAGCGGTGATCTAATGAAAGGCTAACGGCGGATTAATATGAAGCGAGGATAACAAGATTGGTAGTAAAAATTTATATCTGTATATATGCTAATTTAGTTTGTTTTTATTATTTTATTAGTAATATCTAAATGATTTAACAAAGTAGAAGTATGAATGCTTCTCGAAAAATTCAAATATAACAATACAATACACAAATTGAAAATCAAAATGTTCAAGTTTTTTAAATAATACTATTATATTTAATAAATTTAAAAAATGTAATTATCTTTTAAGTTTTAAAATATTAATTTATAAAATTACATATATTTTTATTATTGCTAGAGACGTAAGCATTTCTTATTTTTTTGTTGTTTAAGGCCAATTTAGTATTATATTGACTTTATTTTTTATAGAAGTACACTCTAGTTTACATATTTTTATTGTTTATTTTGATTAAAAAAATTCATCAACCAAAATATTATTGTTCTTATACAAATTAAGTTAACTTGGTAATAAAAAAAGTAAGTATAGAACAAAAGTAATACAACAATATAGTATATAATTAATTTTCATAAAACTTTGAATAGAAATTAATTTTTAAAGAAAAATGTAAACACCAGAATGGCAATGAGATATTTTTCTTCTATTGCAAAAATTACTCACAAGAAATTATAAAGATGTAATTGTATGTGACAATGCAATTTGCATTTTATCAAAGATATATTAAATTCAAAATAAGAAATGATTGGTAAGGTGAAAATATATTGTGACTCATTTTAATGAGTCAAATAAAACCTAAAGTGTATCATCAATATTGAAAAACACTGAGCATTTATTCAAACCAATCGAAATATCTTTGGCGTTGATATTTTTTAACAACAATTATAAAAATAAGTATTATAATTAATTACCAATACTGTATATAAAATGGCAACCCATAAGATAAGTGGTCAAAGTGCTCGTAAAAAAGTACAAGTAAGTATACTATATAATTTTTAAAATATACAGATTGAAATTAATGTTTAAAAATTTAATATTGTTAATCATTTTTGTAATTTCTTATAATTAAAGTTTTTAATTACTTTCAATCAAGCTATTATTATTTATAGTTTATTTTTAATTTTGTTCTCAAATAAATATAAATATATATAATTTTATAAAACAACTTTGTTCTAAATATATTCTAATTCTATAAATATAAAATTTAAATTGATTATTTTAATACATATTTTACATAATTTATCATGGTAAAAACTACTTAGGTATCTATGGTTATCAGAGATGAAAAAGAAAAAAAACATCGTGCTGGGATCAATTCGCTACAATATGATGCAGTTCTTCATAAATTATATTCTGCAGGAAGAGATAGTATAATTAGGATATGGAATTGTAAAAATTTAAAAGATCCATATATAGATTCAATGGAACATCATACTGATTGGGTGAATGATATTGTTTTATGTTGCGGTGGTAAAAATTGTAAGCTGTATTTATATTATTCATTTGATGTATATTGTAAAAGATTAATATCAATACATTCATTAATAATTATTTATAACATAAAAATTTATTATTAACAGTTTAATAATATAAATAAAAAATTCTCTATAAATATTAGCTTTTATTTAGTGATTTCAGCCAGTTCAGATACAACAGTAAAAGTCTGGAATGCACATAAAGGTTTTTGTATGTCAACTTTGAGAACACACAAAGACTATGTAAAAGCCTTGGCATATGCAAAAGATAGAGAACAAGTTGCAAGTGCAGGTTTAGACAAAGCCATTTTTTTATGGGATGTGAATACATTAACAGCTCTTACTGCAAGTAACAATACTGTAACAAGTAAAATTTTTAATATTAAACAAAATATACTAAGAAAAGTTAATTTTGATCCATATTTGTTAAATTTATAATTGGTGATATAAAAATCTTAAAAATTGTATTTGATAATTTTTAGGGAAATGATATTATATTTTTAGATTCAACTAAAATTATAATAATCATAAATTTTAATCATAAATATAAAAACATGTATCTTAAAACTTAATATCTATTTTTTGAAGCATGTGTTTAAATTATAATATTTTATAAGATAATATAAATAACATACACTTCTACAGTCCAAGGATATAAATTTATATCAAAATTAATTTATTTCTATTTCTTTTATATATTTGATCAAATTATAATTTTGTATAATTTATTATTAAACTTTTATAGCATCATCTCTTACTGGAAATAAAGATTCAATATATAGCCTAGCAATGAATCCACCTGGGACAATTATTATAAGTGGCAGTACAGAAAAAGTTCTTCGAATATGGGATCCCCGAACATGTAGTAAACTTATGAAACTTAAAGGTCATCAAGATAATATTAAAGCATTAGTTTTAAATAAGGATGGTAGTCAATGTTTATCAGCTAGTTCAGATGGTACAATTAAACTTTGGTCTCTTGGTCAACAACAATGTGTACAGACTTACAGAGTACATACTGAAGGAGTTTGGACATTGCTGGTAAATATTTAAATAATTTCTTAAACTAAATGTGTTGCTTTTTAAAGTAAATTATACATCGATACTGTAGTATAAGCAATTTTATTTTGCAGGCAACTGACACTTTCAGTCATGTTATTTCTGGAGGTAGAGATAAGCGTGTTATAATGACTGAATTAAGAAACCCTGAAAAATTCACCGTAATTTGTGAAGAAAAGGCGCCAATTTTAAAAATGGTTATGACACCTGATCAATCGAATATTTGGGTAGCCACTAGTGATTCTACAATAAATAATTGGGTAAGAAATTTATCATAAAATCTGAAAATATTTATAAAAGCAATTTTATATTTAATTTTATAGAATATAAGTCAAAAAGATTGGCAAAGTGGTGATTACATTGTTGATACAGTAAGCTTAACAGGATTATTAACTCCTCGAAATGTTGAACCAGCTCAAAGAATTCTTGGAGGACCAGCTATTAGACATTACTATATACTCAATGATAGAAGATACATTTTAACAAAAGATACAGAAGAAAACGTAGCACTCTATGATGTATTAAAATCTTGCAAAGTAGACGATTTAGGTCATATTGACTTTGATTTGGAAGTTAAAAAACGAAATAAAATGGTTTATGTTCCAAATTGGTTTAATGTTGATCTCAAAACTGGAGTTTGTATATAAAATACAAAAATTAATTTATTTTCAATTATTTTATTTTAATTGTTCTTTTATTAATAATATTTGTTCTAGATGTTAACAATACATTTAGGACAAGATGAAAATGATTGTTTATCAGCATGGGTTTCTGCAAAAGAAACAGGATTAATAGAAGATGATAGTACTGACCCAAAAGGTATTTTTATTTTTCAATTAGTCAAATTATTAAAAATAATTAATATTATAATTGAAAATACTTAAATTTTAGTAAATTATGGAAATTTACTCTTGCAAGCTTTATTAGAGCATTGGTGGAAACCTCTTCATGTTGATGATGAAATAGATAGTAATAGTAATGAAGGAAATAGTCCAAGACATACCAGAGGAGGAAATCCTTATTTTTCTGTACCTGGTCATACACCTGTTATTTTCAGGTAACTTTACATATTTTAATTAATAAATTGCAAATTAAAAATAATATTTTAATTTCAAGTGAGGTTGGTGGTAGAACATTATATAGATTATTAGTACGAGATGCTGCAGGAGAGACAGAAGGTGTACTTTTGAATGAAACAGTGCCGTCGTGGGTTAGAGATATTGTAGTGGATAAAAATTTACCAAAATTTATTAAAATATCCTTCTATCTCCAACATTCCAATTCTGGTGCTAAAAATTCTAAAAAGTTAAGTTTTCTTTAAACGAATACTATTTGTTTATTATATTAAATCTACTTTATATTTCTTCTACATAGAGATCGACTTGTTGCCAATGACTTTATTCAAGTTCGAAAAGTTGCTGAACATGTATATGATAAAGTTTTGGGAGCTGGTAGTGATTCAGGTTCAGTTGGAGGAGGAAACACAGTATCTAGTGGTTCTGCTGCTGGTGATAGAACAAATACTGATTCTAATATTGATAACTCATCATTAATAGAAGAAAAAGTAGAACTATTATGTAATGATCAAGTGTTAGATCCGTTGATGGATTTAAGAACAGTAAGAACATTTTTAGAACTAACTATAAAGATTAATTATATTATTTTTTATATATACATACTATTATTTTCTTATAATTTAGGTGAGACATTTTATCTGGAAAAGTTCAGCCGATTTAACTTTACATTATCGGCCAGTAAAATAGTTGTACTTAATACAAAATTATGTTTACAATATATCTCATTTTATTTATGACTCAAATAAATTTAATTGTGAAATTAATTGACATTATACTTTTTTATAAGTGAAAATTATTGAATAAATACAACTTTAATATTGGAAAATAGTATATTTTGATAATATTGGTATTTGAAAATATAAATATTTTTATTTTAGTTTAATAACTCAATATATGTAGTTACTAAAATTTTATAAAAAATAATTTTTAGTATGAAAAGTAAATCATTTATTTCTATCATTAATTTATTTTTCCATACAGTACATATAACTTGACAGATTTGTAAACAAATTTCACATAACATTTAATTTTACATAGTATAAACTGATTTTGAGTTCATAGTATGAACTAATAACTTAATAATTATTTCTTAATAATTTCTTAAAAGGTCTAATAATAAAAAATAAAATAATTTTTCTTATTGTAAAATATATTAAAGATGTTTTAATTAAAACCTATAATTCTTAAATAAAATTTATATACCTTATTTTTAGTTAAAAAATGTATATATATAATTCTATAAAAAAAATTATTACTAGTTACATCAATTGTGATTAAACAAATTAAAATAACACCTTATTGATTCATTCCACTATATCAAAAAAAAAAAATATTAATTCAATAGATGTTAATTATATATATAAAATGATAAAAATGAGATTTATTCAATAAACATTTAAAATTAAAATTATTATATCAATAAATTATTACATATTTAATAAAATTTATACAAAGTATCAAATGTTTATTTTATTAGTATCTTCGAAGATAATTAAAAATTTTATATATCATATTCTTTAGTATTAGAATATTGCCACCAGTTGCCTGGTGGGAGAAAAAGTGCAGACAAGTGGAAGCAGTAGCCCATTAATTGAATATTTAACACATTTGCTTTTCGTGCTGTTTATTGCGTTTTATTTTACAAAAATTCAACAGCTAGAAGGATTTTAAATTTCTGAGCCAAAGGTCTTGGAAAGTACTCCAATCCTTAACACATATACAATATAATTGCAAAGTTTTTAATAAAATGGTTTATACTTTTAACTAAATAAAGTTTACCATTTGTTTTATTACCTGAATATTCTATAAATAAGAATCTATAATATAGATTTGTTTAATAAACCATTAAAAGAAAATTTTGTTTAAATTAGTAGTTATAATCTATCTTTATGAAAAAATATTTTCAAAAGCTACTTTATAATAATTGAGATGTTGCTTTATGAATTACTTCTGCTTTAAAATTGATAGAATATTTTAATTCTTTAATAAATGCAATTGGTCCTAAATTGGTCCATTCAGACTTTTATATCGATAGGCCTTTGAATTATTATTAGATAAGCACTATTTAATAAAAGTATAAATAAAATATAAAATAAAATATTATAAATAAAAATTTATACTTTTATATTGATAAATGTGTATGCAACAAAATATCTGCATATTTTTATAAGTAGTATCTATAAATGTCATTTAACTTTGTATATTTAATTTATCTGTTAATGTTAATTATTTTATGATAAATAAACTTATTAAAAATGAAAGTGATAAAATAAGTAAAAGAAATATAAATAAATGTTTCAAAAAACAAACAAAAAAATTTTAAAATAAATGAGCTATAAAAAATGAATTATTATTAATGCAAATTAAAAACTTTATTTTAATTTTTTTTATTTAATTTTTAATTTATAATAATTTATTAATAATAAACTTAATTAATAATAATTAATTTATTAATTTTATTTTATTTAAAAATTAAAACAATTTAAAATCTAATTTTACAATAAAATACTGTATACATTTACGATAAAGCCAAAAATGTAATAAGTCCATTCTATTGTCTATTACTATAAATTAAAATCTGCTTCTTTAGTTTTAATGTTAAAAACTACTATTCATCCATGGAAATGAGAATTTTGTCTTTTCATTGCATTTAAAATATCAAAATTATTTATAATAGGTATAGATATAAAAATTATTGTATGTATTTAGGATGATAAAAAAATTATTTTAAAATCTCTAACGTTATTATACTAGAACTATAATATATTTTTTTCAAACAGCAAGGATTAGTTTTTAAATTTACATTCAATTATTTTATGTATATGAGCTATAAAATATTAAGTTTCAGCAATCTGATTAAAACGTCATGATAGAATAATTATCTTAAAACATGAAATTTATTAAACCATTTTCATCCAAATAAACATAATAAATTAAACTCAACTTTATACGGTTAATTATCAATTTGATTTTATAATTATTATTTGTAACTTTAATTCAATATAAAAAATTTTTATATTAAACATAATTATTAATTATTGAAATAAAATTGTGAAATCTTCCGTTCATTGATAATTAGGTACGTTCACTAAATAGCATTGATATTAGGTATAAAATAAATATTTTTAAAGGTTTAATAGAAAAAAAGTTAATTACAATATAAAATGATAATATTATCAAGAAATTTTTCAATAAAAATCTTTTTTAAAGAAACAAACATGGATTTTACGAAAATTGTGATATTCTGTTTATTTTATTTTTAATCATATTTATCAATATTTTTCGTAAAAAATTAATTGAAAATAAATATAAACATCTACATAAAATATATAAAAATAAATTTAAGCATCTACAAAAACATTCTTTTTTTTTAATATCTAAAGAATGCATTTTTAAAATGTTAAAAAATTCCATAATTCGTTAATATTTTATTAAATCTAAATAATTTACAACTTTTATTATCTATTATTATATAATACTGTTCGAAATTCCAGTCACCCAGTAGTGGAAAGATCAAGATGGTTGGATTAGCCCATATCCACCATTTTACTGGTGGAACAGTGTGAATAAGTGAGAGGTTAAAACTTCGATTCAGTAATCAACATAATTGTTTTTCGTGCTATTTATTGAGTTTTGATTTACAAACACACAATTATGATTCTACGTTGGTGGTGAGAATCGTTGAGACTTTACCGCTTCTTAGTAGTTTTTTACGTGGAAATAGCGTGCACTACAGGTCGAGGTTGGAGATTGTAAATCTCCAGGTTCTCTTGGTGTAGTGCGCTTGGTGGAAATTACTACACTCAGAAGTGCAAGGGTGTAAATCCTTGACACTCCTTGTATAGTACCACGTATGTTACTTTAGGTACGAGGCTTCTCTTGATGACAAATATAATGATTCGATACCTCAGTGTATCTTGGCAGTAATCTGTGGCACTTATCGAGATGCAGTGGGCATTGCCTCCTCAATCCGGAGTACAGCTCCGATTACAATGACGTGAGTGTGGTGACCCTTTGCAGTTGCGCGTTTCCTCTTAGTTGACTCAAGCAAAAATGCTCCGAGCAACTGCCCAGATTTTGCGCGTCTTGTAGTCTAGTACATTCTTGCAATGCAGTCAATATTCTTGATTGCTTTCAATTATTGCGCACTTGAGAATTGACTTGTATTGATTATAATGGCTACGCTTTTGACGTAACTGAGTAACTAGCTTATAACTGTGAAGTCTGGCTGAATTATGTTATTACAATGCAAATACATACACGAAACTGAAGGCTTTTTCGTTCCATGGTGGCTTTACTGATAGATAGTGACTTTCAATAGCGGTCCTGCCAAGACAGACCGTGATCCGTGTCACGACATCTTCACTGAAAGATATAGGCTTGTCGCGTGCTTCCTTTAAATAAGCGTATGGCAGATAATTTAGCTGGCAAGAATTCATAGGTATTGATATGCCGAAAATCTTGCATGACGTCAAAGACTAAAGCTTTAAAACTTTCGAGAACTTCAGGCTAAACTAGTTAAACATTACAGGACGTCCGCAAGCAAAGGCTTTAAATGATTGAAAAATTTCAGAGTCAATGTTTACGACTTCGCGAGCTAGAACGATTACAAATTTTGGAGAATTAATTTTCTTGGAAAGCGCTCCAATTATGAACAAATACAAATACAAAATTATATATTGTAGTCCTTTGTGATCGAACCTACACATTTGAAACACGTATATAACAAATCAATATTATATTAATTAGAAGTTTCATTACTATGTGAATATTTTATTCTCGATAAATAAATAAAAAAATCTTATTTCTTGAAAAATGTTATCTATAAAACATTGAAATTCTTGATAACAAACTGTTTGAGAATGAGAGACTCTTTTTTTAATGCAATAAAACATCTGGCAAGTAATATCATGAAAATTGTATTTGAGACTTCAAAACTTTCCTGCTCATAATTATTTTGCACTAGTGTTATAAAACATCTGGAAAACTCTAGCGGAACGTGCTCATACTCCCAGTGCAGTAGAACCTAATGGGTTTATTGCCGGGAGAACCCCAAAGTAGATTCAGAATGAATATCAGATATGCGTAAAGCATTGAGTACAAAACATTTACTTAATTTTTTGCAACCCAAAACCCGCACGTGCAACAACAAGCAATGACCATACGTGCGCACTCGGCCTTTAAGCTAATGCTTGCATTGTTCTTGGATATGCCACATTTGGTCGATCGCATTGGAAAATTGACCACGCCCAAGCGGACCCTTCGTCTAACCAAGACCCAGAGAGAGATGAGGCAACCAAGGAGAGGTGACCAATGGAAAGGGCTCGCCACCTTCCGACACTTTCCCGATTAGCAAATTCGGGACTGAGCCCGGACGAAGTGGAAATGAAGGCGTGCATAATCTATTGTGCGGCCCAAGATCAACCTCTGATTGATTAATTAATAAAAGAAGAAGGGGTCCCAAGTGGAACAGGACCAGTGAACCATTTAAGAAGGGATAACGCAATGTACCTTCGCTTATTCTTTTCTAACACTTCACGCACAATTGAAGGATAAGTCACGACTTACTCTCACGGAGGGGGACCGGAGAGACAAGTCGTTTAGCTGAGTTTAATAGAATTCTTTCTACGATTGTGAATTAGTATACAGTTGAATTGATCTCATCAAGACTAGATGCATAGGACCAGACCATTTGTAATCTCACTTGGAAATAAGGAAAGAACTTAAGAGTTGCAATATTGCAAGGGAACTTCACAACAAGCCAACGAAGAGAGACTGGAAAAATCACGATATACTGCAAGTAAGTCCTTACAGCTAGTACTGCTTCTTGATTTCTCGGCTTAAGTAGAAAACTGACGGTTTAAGGTCCAACTATCGAAGCTTCCCAGACATACTCTAGGACAAGACCAGGTACAGATGCCACAGTGACTTTTCAATCCCTCCAACGATAAGTTGTTTCCCCCACAGGTGGCGCACAGCTTCGCATAACCTCTATTTAGGCTCTTATACGACACATATTTAGAGGCAACCGCACACGTGTTAAGTTGAAACATAATAATATTGCAGTGTTCGATCAGAGCACTACAATAACCATAACCATATAAGTGATAATATTCAATAGATTATAACCTACTTCTTTTTATAGTAAATCATAATCTCACCAGTTATATGCAGCAAATAAGAAATTGATTATTCTCTAGTCTCCAATAAACAAATATATATCACCACATATATAACACCACAAGATTATCAAGAAATATAAAAGTTTATTTGTAATTTTATCATAGTTAATGATTTCCACTCGGAATTAAAGTAAAATAAATGAAATAAACAGCAATAATAAATATATGTGTTAATTATTGAATCAGTGCATTAACCGTTTACTTGCCCAGCAACCCCACACAACATCTAGTGGGGTTTTTTTTTGTTCTAAGTTGATTATTGCACGTTTGGTTGACGAGTCAGATTGTGGAATTATTTTCTGAACACAAACAAAGAAGTATTTTATGTCTATAAGTGTTAACTTTTAACAGCATTAACTTAAAAGTTTAAATATTACATTCTGGATTATGTAGTTGACCTTATAACTTTGAATGAATAAAGATCAAAGAACCTAAAGAAAATTAATGTGATAGTTTTTCTCTAAGTTTTTTAATAAGCAAGATCTTTTCTACGTTATTTTTAGATTACACTATTCAAGTAGTTTAACCATTAACATAGTAATTAAAAGTTTATCTAAAATATCTTTATTGTAAAGAACATAAATTTAAAATATTAACAATTATATTAAAACAGAAAACAACCTTATAAATATATACACTACATATAAAAATTTACCTTATATAAAAAATACATATAATTCATTTTGGTAATAATGAACATTATTGAAATGTATTATATATATAAAAAATAAAATTATTAATTTGATTTTTTTTTAATTCATTTTTTAAATCTAATTCATTAAATATGATTACCCTCTATTATAAAACTGATAATATTCCTATTTTTGTATATTTTTTATATTATTTGTATTTAGTGTGAATTAAAATTTAGTTTTCCTTAAAAATAATTTTCAACGAATATAATTTATATAACAATGTAGTATATAACAAATTTTGTTACTTTTGTTGCGTTTTTAATTTTAATTGAAATCAAGAATTCATAATAAATTTAAGACGTTTATAATTGCCTACCCATTTTTCTATTTTAAACATTGTACATTATTATTTCATTTAAAAAGAATCTAAAATTTGTATAAATACCCTATTTTCATTAAATAAGTGTTAAAAGATATCAACAAATTGTTCATAATTCTCAAACAAGAAAAGTGCAAAACGGATTTAAATTAGAAATAGGATTATTTATGATTTCAGAACTTTTTTTTTAATATTTCGGTTTATTTTCATGCTTTATTATGTCCAGATATTCAATTACGGTGTTAATTTTTTATATACAAAAGAAATTAATCCCATAAAAAATTTCCTTTAGCAAGATTTAATACTTTCGTATTATTAGTTTCAGGAACATTTGTATTTCAGGATAATTTGTATATCCAGAACAATTGTATTTATTTTTTTGATTTTATTTCTTCAATCATACATAAGATATTTGTTCTTTAAAAACGAATAATAATTGTAAATATTTACATTACATATGTTCATTAATATAATAAAATGTTTTAGATTAATGCAGTGTTCGGAAAATAATCCCACAATTCGACTAGTCAGTCAAACGTGCAATAATTAACGTAGAACAATAAAACCCACTAGATGTTATGTGGGGTTGCCGGGCAAGTAAAAGGTGAAAGCACTGACTAATAATTAACACATGTCTTTGTTATTTCTATTTATTTGAATTGATTTACAAAAGGGTGAATTACAGACGAACTTTATATTTCTTGATAATCTTGTGGTGTTGAAATATATTTACTATGAATGAAGCAGGTTATAATCTATTGAATATTATCACTAAGAGGTTATGGTGATTGTAATGCTCTGATCGAACACTGGAATGCTATTGTGTTTATCTTAATACGTGTGTAGTTGCCTTTAAATATCGGTCGTAAGAGAGCCGAGATGGAGGTTATGCGAAGCTGTGCGCCATCTGTGGCGGGAACAACTTGCAGTTGGAGGGATTGAGAAGCCAATGTGGCGTTTATAGCTGGTCTTGTTCAAGAGTATGTCCGGGAAGCTTCCGTAGTTAGACTTTATCCGTCCGTCTTCTACATAAGCCGAGAAATCAAGAATGAGTACTAGCTGTAAGGACTTACTTGCAGTGTATCGTGATTTTCCAGTCTCTCTTCGATGGCTTGTTATTACGTTCCCTTGCAATGTTGCAACCCTTCAGTTCTTCCTTGTCTCCAAGTGAGACCACAAGTGGTCAGGTCCCACGCAATCCAGTCTTGATGAGATCAATTCAACTGTACACTAATTCACAATAGTGGAAAGAACTTATTATTAAAACTCAGCTAGCTAAACGACTCATCTCTCCGGTCCTCCTCCGTGAGAGTTGGTCGTGACTTATCCTTCACTGTAAGAAGTATTTGGAAAGAGTAAGTGAGGGTACATTACGTAGTCCCTTCTTAAAATGATTCACTGATCCCGCTCCACTTGGGATCCCTTCTTCCTTTATTAATTAACCAATCAGTGGTTGATCTTGGGTCGCACAATAGATTATGCACGCCTTCATTTCCACTTCCTTCCGGGCTCAGTTCCGAATTTGCTAATTGGGAAAGTGTCGGAAGGTGGCGAGCCTTTTCCATTGGTCACCTCTCTTTGGTTGCCTCATCCCTCTCTGGGACTTGGCTAGAAGAAGGGTCCGCTTGGGCGTGGTCAATTTTCCAATACGATCGACCAGATGTGGCATAGCCAAGAACAATGCAAGCATTGTCTTAAAGGCCGAGTGCGCACGTATGGTCATTGCATGTTGTTGCACGTACGGGTTTTGGGTTGCAGTAAATATTTGTACTCAATGCTTCACGCATATCTGATATTCGTTCTGAATCTACTTTGGGGTTCTCGCGGCAGTAAACCCATTAGGTTCTACTGCACTGGGAGTATGAGCACGTTCCGCTAGGGTTTTCCAGATGTTTTATGACACTAGTACAAATAATTATGAGCAGGAAAGTTTTGAAGTCTTAAATACAATTTTCATGACATTACTTGTCAGATATTTTATTGCCTTACTAAACGGAGTCTTATTCTCAAACATGCAGTATTTGATAAATTGACAAACCGTAATGTTTTATATAATTTAGTTTAATATATTAAGGTTATATATTTAAATAAAAAAATTTCTCAAATCATATTATATATATTGTTAAAAATATGAAGTTCCTTAAGTACATATTTATATCATAAAAGCTTACTTCCCTTCGTTGAAATTTCATAATGCGCGCGATTCTGTCAAGCAATAGTACACAAAGATTGTGCTTCACATAAAAATACCTATTTGATTATTCGTATTTTTTTCTTAAATTATTATATTCATATGCTTATGGCTCTGAGTTATTTTAATAATTAGTATAGTTCTCCTACAATTTATTTCATCAAATTAATTTGCTAAATTTAGCGAGATTTCTACCAATCGAGAAAAAAATATGAAACCATTGATGTATTTATAGTCTTTTACATAACAATTCTATAAATTTTTAATCTGAAATATGTTGAAAATATATAAAGCATAAATATTAGAAATCGTTTTTTAAGTATGATATTACATATTTCTTAAAATAAATTAAAAAAAAAATCTATTATTTATATATATATATATATATATATATATATATATATATATATATATATATGTAAATCTACTATATTTATATGCATTTGAATAATGGAATTTATTCAAACTAATCATGGAAGAAAACGTAATAAAAAATGTTTCATAAACAGTATAGAACTATTTGATCATATTAAGTTTGAGGTTAGATCTGAAAAATCAAATAAAATTCGATATAATAGAATAAATAAAAGGTAATTTCTTAAAACAATGAACGCGAGTACTTTTTGGAAAAATTACAAAGCAGCTGATGAATGGCAAAAAACGTACTATATTATATAAATATTTATTTGCGCTTTATTAATAAGATATTAAAAGTAATTATTGCATTTGCTTACAATATATGTTTTTACTTATTCTAGACATAATGTGACATGGTGGAAAACAAGATGCTTTGCTTTAGAACATGAAAATCATGTACTTAGAGTGAACATTAAAAATTTAATTTCAGATAAAAGTTGTAAAAGTAATTTAACTAAAATATATTCAAATAGACAACATAATATAAAAAATAAAAAACTTGAAAATGAAAGTGTTTTAGATGAAAATATTGAATTTCATTTAAATGAAGATATGATGTATTTTTTAACACAAAGTATTAAACATAAAATTGAATTAAAAAAAAAAAAAGAAATTACAGAAATAAATAGAAAAAATATTGAAGAATTAAAAGAAGGAAAATTTGACTGGATTAACAGAAAAAATGAAGATGCAAAATTGCTATATGGTAAAGCAAGTTCGACGGTTTTAGCTATGGAAACAGCTCTAGAAGCCACAATTGAAAGACACATAGACAAGACAAAGCCACAATATTGGCCAAACATACCTTTAAGATTATAAAATTGTTTCTTTTTCAAATAAATCATTCTATATAATAAATATAGCAATCTGGTGTATGTTTAAGATATATACAAAACAAAACTTATAGCAATAATATACCATATATGTACTTAATATAGACTTCTATTTTTATAACTAATATTTTATAGTATTAGATATATTACATATATATAATTAAAAGCACAATAAAAAAAAATCAGAACTTAATAAATATGTAAAATATACAGTTTATATTTCAGGTTGTCAACTTGTTTATTTATATTTAATAGTAAAAAATTTAGTAAAGAATTGTAACAAACACATTACTTATAAAAAATGTAATATTTTATATGTACATTATGCTTTAACAATAATAATGTTATTTAAGTTTACATAAACTAAATTGAATTAATTTTTTTAGTATATTAGCCACATAATATTAAAATTCAAAATTATTGTTTTTTATTATTAAAATTATTTCCAGAAATTAAAATTAATTTATGTAATTATAGTAATGAAATGTATTAAGAATTATAGATGACTAAAATAATTATTGTACTTATATTTGAAATTTCAGTTATTTTATGGTATGTTATAATTTTCAAATGTATTTCAGTTTAGTAGTTATCCTTTATATATATTTATAATTATATACAGTATATATAAATCATTTAAAATATTTTATTTGAAGCATACATTTATTTATTGATTTCAAATGAAAGAGTATAAATTCTTTTTCATACTGAAAATAATTGTAAACTTATCTTATAAATAAAAAAAATTATAATTATTTCATGTAATTCTTTATTTTTAATGTGAAACGAAAAATAATTGTATGGAAAGATATTTAAACATTATTAGAAAGCATATTTGATAAAACCGAGTTAAGAACTATTAAAATGGATTTATAATAAATGCTAATAATTATTTATAATTTAAATATGTCCAAATATATAAAAATAAAGTAAAAGAATATTAAATTTAATGAATGAAGAATTTGTACAATTATAGTAAAGAAAAATACTGTCATAAAAATGAAATAAAATTTATATTAATAATAGGAATTACAAAAAGTAATATGACAAAATGAAAAATTTTTACATTTAATATTAGAGTAAAAATTATATAGTAATTATAAAATAAAGTAATGCTCTTTTGATTTAATCATAAAGTTTTAATTCATGTAGGCGTATAATTTATTATTTTCACATAGTTTGAATTAAAATTACAGTCTCAACTAACAATGTTTGTTATAAAACCAAGTAGAAATAATACATATATAAAAAGTAAATATTAAATATTGTTATTTATAATACTTGGGTTGATACAATTTTATTGATTGGTGGTATATAATTATATACTTTCATTCAATGTTAATTTGCATACATATATGTTTATATTTATTTTTACATACATTCATATTAAAATTTGCAATAAGCATTTATTTAAATTTAATGTGCATTTACAAAATTCCCAAAAAATTTTTTTAATAAATCATAAACCATAGTATAACTCAGTATAGTTTTATTTTAAAATTAATATGAATTTGAAAATAAAAAATATACATCTATAAATAACATTCATTTATAATATATTTATATTATGGAACAAATAATTATAATTAAAATATAATTTTCAATATTTGTTTGTCATAGAATCGTACTTGATATATAATAAAGCTTGGATTTCTCTTTTTCCTAACTCACATTATACAATGATATTTTATCAATCGACATTACACACACTGAATTTTTTAATATCTAAATATAATCTTTTAAAATAATATCTACAGCATGTGTAATAGAATTGCAGACTTTTGTAGGAAATGGTTCGATTAGATTTTCGTCTCCTAAACAATACTTTCCAGTTTCTACTAAAAATCCTTTTATACCAATCAATTGTGCACCTGCTATATCATCATTAATATCCTAAAAAATAATGTGCAGTATAGTTAATTTGTTAATCTATTATTAAACTAGGTAAATAAGAATATATACATCTCCAATCATAATTGCATCTTCTGGAGAAATACCTTCAAGAGCTGCTTTAAAAAATTCAGATGTTGGTTTACCAATGACTTCTGCTTTAACGTTAGCAGAATATTCTAACCCTTTGATAAATGCACCTGGACCTAAACTTAATCCATCTACACTTTTATAATAACGGGCTTCATGAATTGCTATCAAGCGAGCTCCATTTAACAAAAGTCTAAATAAAATTTATATCATAATAAATTTTTATAAAATATGAAATATTTAATTTTTTATGAATGTTACCTAAAAGCATTGTTTAAATTTTCGTAATTAAGTTTATCTGGTGCTAATCCAATAACAACAGCATTAAATGGAGAGGTGAAATCAACTAAATTGTCAAACTCTTCCAATGCAGCATTATCAATTATCAATAATGGATTTATTTTGTAATGTCTGATTATATGTTTTGCAGCAACCAGTGAGCTGAATATTTCATCCATTTTTATATCAAAGCCAAGTTTTATTAATCGATTGTGAAGTACATGTTTTGACTCTTTAGATGTGTTTGTAACAAATTTTAAAGTTACATGTGAATTTCTGAGTCTGAATTTATGACAAAATAAAATTTAATGTAAATTCGTAAAATAATATAAAAAATAAACACATTATATAAAAATTACAGTAAAATTTCATTAAATTGTTTGAATTAAAACAATTATTTCAAAATTTGTAGGTACCTTTTTATAGCTTCAACAGCACCTGGAATAGCAGTATTTTCAACATGTAAAGTACCACTCAGATCAATAAGTACCAATTTTACTTTATTAGACATGTTTAATGTATATTTAAAAAATTAACAAATACTTTCTAAATAAATATTAACGATTATTCCAATCAGAGAAGAACAATATAAGATAAAATCTAGCCAAAATTGTACAATTTTCTTTACTAGTTTATTACTATTTAATATGAAACTTCTTATGAACAATGATCATATTTGTAACATAAATTATGGGGTTACAAAAATTAAAGAATTTACTATTGGTTTTTGCAAGTGCACTACATTTCAAAATATAATTTGACGTGATTTCCAGTAAATACCAATATTTTTTATATTTCTTTAATATATATTAAAAATTTAAATAAATATTACAATGGATATGTACATATATATATATATATATTTTCTTTTTTTTATATTATATATAAAATGTTATTTTTGTGATACTATATATATCAATGTCATACATATTAAATTTTAATAAATAAATTTTAAGCTACATTATTAACTTAAACAAAATTTTATATTATTTGATTTCGATTTATTAAAATATAAAGATCTAAAATTAAAACCTTTTTCATAAACAAAATTATTGAAAAAAATCTACATTACATATTTTTTTATTCCAGGTAAAACTACATGATTACTTTTGGTGAACTACAATATAGAAAGCTAAGATGTTCATAAAAAAGCGTGAATACTCTATGCAATCGAAACTTAAAAACATGTATTTAATAATATAAGATGTGATCAAATTTTATTAATCTGAGCTTGAAATCTGAAAATTATGAATATTGATAAAGTAATGTAAAATTTTACATTTATTCGATACACGTGTAATACTAATCAATAGCTTCGTAATTGCTTAATCAATAATTTAATAGTTTTTTTATTAAATGCCTAATTTACAAAATTCAATATCGGCCGAAATAAATTCTATAGTATTGCATGCTTATTTCAAAATATAATTAAATCTGAACTAAAAGCCATTTATAAAAATATCTCCTATCAAGTTTCGAGAGATGAACAGTAGTTAAATCCAATAAATGATGGAAGAAGACAAACAGAACCTATTATTTAATCAAGCAAATATTTTGCGAAGATTTACGCAAATACTTTTTTACATGTTTATACACTACATTAGAAACACATATACCACACCCAGTTGCCGATTCCCAAATTTACAATATAAAAAGACATTGTTAAATTAAAAAATACGTGATAAAATAAAAGTAAATTTTACTCGCATTCTATCAGAGAATATGAAATACATATCGTTTGCAAAATAAAACAATTAAACCAAATTAATTTTCTAACTGTATAAACTAAGAGTTTTAATAACTCCTGGTAATATATGAAAAACTATTAAATTCATCGATTGACTTATAAATTATAAGCAAAGTAATACTGAATTGACATTGAAAAAGATATATATGAACTAGTTAGATATATTACTTTATATATATTTTAAAAAAAATTTATATAGATTTAAATAAATATATATATATATATATATATATTTCTCGCGCACGTGCGTGTATATGTGTGTACAATTGCAATAGAAATTTTCATATGCATTTAGAATTTTACTATTCTAAACATGTATTATTTTATATATTATTTAAACATACTCATTTTTAGCTGGTTATCAAATCAGCCACGAGTCTTATAATGTCATTGAGTAACTTAAGGTATCGAATTCTTTTTATTCAAGACAATTAATTCAAACAACCATTTATTTTAAGAAATAATATTATTTTATTATAGCATAAAAATTAGCATTAAAAATTTTATACTGTACATGTACAAATCACAATATGTATTCGCATTAATTAAACTATTTTCGTTATTATAAGAATTCTATATAGTTATTGTGCTTATAAATAAAAATTTCATATATCTTAATTCTCATAATTTAATTACATTTTAAACAGAATAAAAGTAGTTAATTTCAATTATTTAATAGTATTGATTTAATAATTTTACAAGTAATAAATTTTTTGTGGACAACTACTAATAAATTTAATATTGTTCGATTTTCTGTTCGATAGTTCAATTTAATTAGTCGTCCGTCTTAGTGGATGTTTAGGTAAGGACTGGTTGCAGGACCAGGTGCAGACCTGGTTAAATATCGTTTATTATGTTTTATTGACAATTACATTATTGATGAGTCGAATTTACTTCTCAAGAGAGTGTGAACTATGTTGAATCACAATGATGTAGTTGGTCCTTGCTGCTGGTGACGATGTTGTTGCTGATCTTGATTGATGGATTAGCAATGGATTATGCATACTCCTTGGTAAGAAGTATAGCCTTTGAAATTTTATTAATAGCCCTTGCTAATCTTGTAAGGATTAGCATTTAATTCTGTAATGTCCTAATTGAAAAAGTATGGCTTGTGCTATTCTTACTCACAGCGATACAGTTTCCATGACTTGATCCTGTGATGAATAGTTACCATTAAGGGAGACTACTGGTATACCTTCGTGATAAAGAGTACTTTGGTACCATGCTTCTTGTAGTCAAATAGTTTCTTGTAATGCAGTCAGCACCCTTGACTGCTTGTTAACTGTCCGCAATGGAGAATAATGTTTGTTCTTTCTGTAATGGTTTCACTAATAGAGCGCTTTTCTCGAAGCGTTAGTGCTGATAACAATGTAGGCGATTTTGGTGTTAAAACCAATGGATGATTGTGGTGCTAGAAAGAGATTGCACGAAAAACACTTGGGGTTTTCCCAGAAATTCTAACATTTGGGAAATTCCTGAAACCTAAAGAGATTATCGGAATGTTTAACAAATATTTATAATTATAATTTAAATATTATATTAGTCTATAATATATTCTTTATTAAAATTTCGTATACCCTTCTAAGAAGACAGATTGTTCTGATTAAAAAATAAAATTTTCTCCTTAAATTATTGTATATTTTCATTTTATATAGCACACGTTTTTAATAGGAAATCTTAATTAATTAAAAAGAAAAAATTGGAATTGCTATCAAATTATCGACATAATTACGATCGTTACAATGTTTAATTATGTACAAAAAGTTTACAAATTTTACTTTAACCCCTAGAATGACAACTATAAAAAGAAAAGTAAAAAATGTTTGTATAATTTTTCTTAAATAGTATCAACCAATGTATAATTAGTATGTAGGTATATTAGGATATTGAAAATATCAACTAATGAATTTTTTCGTAAAATATTAGTTATTGTTAATTTTCATTATTTAACTATGTGTGCTTTAATTCATAAAAAGTATTATTATTTGAGACCAAAAATTAATAAAAACAAAAGATAACTTATCTATAATATATTAACAGGATGCTATAAAATTGTTGATTTTATCATTATTACATAAAATTAGAAAACAAACGATTTGTTACAGTCAGTTTTTGCTTATATTTAAATATTATTATTCAATCATATCAACTTTTAATAGAGTGAGCTACGAATCGCTATGGCGATAGACTAATAAACTGAACTATTGAATTTGGCAGTTAGAGCCACAAAAGAAACTTTCATTTTCGAACATTTGGTCCTTCGAGCCGGATTGCTTTTATTTGTTTTCATGTAAAAAAATATATATGGGCACAGTCATAAAATCATATTACATGTAATAAATATATCACTATTTTTTAACATACATATTTATAGTTGCTGAACTTATTAGAATATAACATATTTCAATCATAAATAACAATATTAATTAAATAAACATTGGGATAAAAATATAAGAAAATATAAACTAGACAATAAGAAAATTATTTAAAATTTATTATTATTAATAGATATTTGTTGCCAGTGGAAGTAGATCGATATACTTTTATTATATTAATTTTTTTTTAAAGTTTTGAATGAATTTAAAAACCTGTCTTTTTCATTAAGTTGGAAATATTTTGACTGCTATTGAGGGCAGATTATTCAACTATTATTTAATTACATTTTAATTACAATTACTAAAAAGTACAAATTCATTTGAAAAGGAAAAGATTATAAAAATTTATTTATTTCTAAATTTATGTGTCCTGCAAAATATATTAAAATTTAAATTATTTTAACTTTAGTTTATAAAAAAAGATATTCTATAATGATAGAAAAATATTTTTTTTTAATTAGGAGTTTTGTAAAAATATAGAATAAAATGTATTTCCATGTTCTTATTAATCACATACATTTCGTACAATTCATTTAGAAGTTAAATTTTTGGTCATAAATCAAGATTAAGCAGTAAATTTGTAATAAAAATTAAAATATTAGTACACACGCATATATACAAATTCGTATAATAGATAAATATTAAAAATAATTTAATTTACTAAAACAATATAAATTACTATTAAAATAATATTGCATTAAAAGAATATATTAAATTTACACATTAAACCATATAAAAAAATATGATTTTTTTACTGATCATTCTTTGTGTAAAATCGGTAAAACCTAAATATAATTTTACTAATATCTGTAATTAAAGAAATTTGTTACCGTTGATTCCAAATTTTAAAATTATAATGTAGTATTCATTTTGTTTTTAAATTGAATGAAATAATTTTAAACATTATATTAAATAAACTATATAGAAAATTATTTTTTAAATGTTCAATTTATGAATTTATTTATTCGAAACATTTTAGTCTCTAATTCTAATTTGAAATTATTATTAAAAAAAGACCATAATAATTGTTTATTTTAAAATGATGCTGCATTTTCATATACTTGAAAAAAATATTTCTAATTTGCTTAGAAATAAAATATAGTGATGTTTGATAAAAATTGTTACTTTAGTAATATTAATGAAAAATGAAGTTGAACGATTAAAATGATTACTTTAATATACATTTGACATTAATTAGTAATATTTAAGGCTAAATATGTTTTTTCAGAAATATCGGTTTTAGTTATGATACAAATAAATATTTCAAAAAATTATTTCATTATTTGACATGTTTAATAAAATATCATAATACACCTAAGCAAAATTACTTGATTTATATTTTGTATTTGCTCCAGTTTTTATATCATAAAATTTATCTATTATTTATATTTTTCTTTTAGATGTTAGATTTTAAATGAATCTTAGATAATTAAATTTATATTTATTTATATTATAAATAGAAGTTATTTTCAATGTATTACTTTCGGACTTATATTTAAACAGACGGGAACATTTAATACAGTTTAACTTATTTCTTTTTCTTCAATGGCCATTTCTCTCTTTCTCTCTCTCTCTCTCTCTCTCTCTATCTGTGTCTCTCTCTCGTTTTCTCTCTCTCTCGCTCTCTCTCTCTCTCTCTCTCTCTCTCTCGCTCTCTATCTATCTATCTATTTATCTCTTTATCTATCTATTTCTTTCCCACTCACACGAATGAGTAAAGAAGGAAGATTAATATAGTACGTGGGCCCAGAATCCCCACTTTAAAATGGCTGCCGACGGATCGAACGGTCCCTCTAACTGAACAACTTACAGGGCTAAGGTAAGTATCGCAGGTGCCGCCATGTCAGTACATGCCTAACCTCTACACGGTATTGAGCGAATGAATTGGGTCCGTAATTTTTATATTTACCGTAGTTATAAATCTCCATGTTATAAATTTCCGTGTGCATATATATATAAGTAATTTATGTTTGAACGACAGTTTTAATTGTGTAGAACTGAAAAGTGACATATTTATTGTTATCACAGTGTTTACTATTGTGTTATTAAAACTACTTGTGACCTTATGCAAATGGTTTTTTGCGATTTATATTTAATCATATCTTATTACATAGCGCTGCTTTCAGCTTAAACATGTTTATACTAAATAGTATATAATATTACTAAAATAGTAATTTGTACTACATAGTATTAGTAAATTAATACAATAAAATATATTTTTTGATGTTTTAAGCAGTTGTTAAAAAATATCAGAAATTTGACTACATTGAATCAACTTATGTTACATTATTATAATTAAACCAATCATTTAATAAAAAGTTAAAAGAAAAAAAATTAAATGCTATATCAAGTAAAATTTTTATTTATAGTCAATTTTCAAAAGTAAAGTTAAAAATTGTATACGTAGTTAATATAATATAAATGAAAAGAGAAAACAAAGAATCAATTATGTGCTAAAAAATATATAAAAAAAGTAGAAAATATAATTTCTTAAATTATATATAATTATTTAACGGGAGCTGCCTTTTTTTATTTTGTTTATATAGCTGTTTTATAGAAATGACATGCTATTTTTATTTAGATCAATCAATTACCAATACAAGTGATTACATGAAACAATTAAATGATTATTATTATATCCATCTATTGTTCGATGTGATAAACAGAAAATTTAGTTTACCATACAGTTGCAGTATAGAATATGACGACAAAATAAATGTAAATGTGCTTACCTTGTTATACATATAATCTCTAATTGATTCTTTAATTGAGTCAAAAATGCTAATTAGTTTACGTGTAGTGAATTTAAGACTCGTTATGCCGAATTTGAAATGATACCCATTTATTATCATATGCAGTATAACATGAATTGGGGTTTGATGCTCCTTATATTAGCCTCTTGGCTTTTCTCTCGTGTCAGCCCTGAACGCGTGCGTTACCTTGAAATTTCTGAAAATGCACCTCCTGGAACCCGCATCGGTTTCATTGATGTCGATAATCCGCCCTTTCTCATTGTGCCTGTACCTGGTTCTGCAGTGGATTCAGACCTTATCATCGAGCAAGCTACTGGCGAAATTCGTACACGAATACCTCTTGATCGCGAGACCAGGTCATCTTATAATCTTGTTGCATTATTACAAAATATGCGCGTTATTATTAAAGTTTTAGATGAAAATGATAACGCCCCTAACTTTTCCGTTGAATACGTTAACATTGAATTTCCCGAAAATGCACCACGCGATTCAAAGCGTGCACTTCCTCCAGCTCGCGATCCAGATCTTGGTTCTCACAGTACCCAACAATATGTAATAGTTGCCGGTAACACAGATGATATATTTCGACTAGTACCTCATCGTGGCCGTGATGGTGTTCTTTATTTAGATCTACAAATCAATGGACTACTCGATCGAGAAATTCAAGAAAATTACCAGTTGATGGTTGATGCATTAGATGGTGGTAGTCCACCTTTGCATTCGCAATTACGTGTGAATGTGACTATTCAGGATGTTAATGATAATCCACCAATTTTTGAAAAAAGTCGATACGCAACGAGTATACCTGAAAATACCACTATAGGTACTGCTGTACTAACAATACATGCGACTGATGTTGATACTGGAGACAACGGACATGTAAAATATTTCATAAATCGCCGTCAATCAGACCGAGAAGAAAAGTTTCGTGTTGATCCTGAAAGTGGAATTATATATGTAAATAAGGCATTGGATTTCGAGTCTCGTGAACTTCACGAACTGGTAGTAGTAGCACGTGACTGCGGTGTACAGCCTTTAGAGACTAACGTTTTTGTTTCAGTGTATGTAAATGATGTGAATGATAATCATCCAGCTATTACAATTCTTTTTCTCTCAGATGATGCAACACCAAAGATTAGTGAAAGTGCTCAGCCGGGTGAATTTGTGGCGCGCATCTCAGTGAACGACCCTGACTCCCGAGCAACTTACTCAAATGCAACAGTAACTTTAAATGGTGGTGATGGTCGTTTCGGTTTAACTATACGAGATGACGTGGTTTATCTCGTATTATTAGAACAACCATTGGATCGCGAAAAAAAATCATTATATGAACTGTCAGTAGAAGCTACTGACGCTGGAACACCACCTTTGCGAGCAGTACGGACATTTCAGTTAATGGTGACAGATATAAATGACAATCCACCGCAGTTCTTGAAGAAAAATTATGAAGTACATTTGCTAGAAACCTCGGAGCCAGGTACGTCGGTATTACGTGTGAATGCAAAGGATGCTGATGAAGGGCTGAATGCACAAATACGGTACTCATTACTTAATTCAACATGGTTTACAATCGATGAAAATTCAGGTCTTATAACTACAGTATCACATGTCGATTGTGAATTAAACCCAGCGCCACTGCTGATTGTAGTAGCTGCCGATTTCGGAAAACCGCCCCTTAGTGGAAGTACAACGGTTCGAGTAACCGTGCACGATGTTAACGACAACGAGCCTATCTTTGAGAAGCCCATGTACAATGTTTCTGTGCAGGAAAATTTACCGATGGGTCATTGCTTTCTTAAGGTAATTTGTTTTTCAAAATGCTCGACCTATTATGTTATAGTTAGATTATTGTTTTTTTTTAAATATAAGTAATCATAAAAATACGTCATATTGTATTTTGTTCATATATTATATATAAAAATCAAATCTTTTTATTTATTTTGTCAATAATTTCATTGTATGGAATAATTTTTAAATCGATACAGAATAATTCTTACTTTATGACTCTAAAATAGTAACTTGTACAACTGATTTAATTTACATTTATAACTTATTACTTGTATTTTATCATATAGGAGATAATCTTACAATAAAAAAATTTCTTATTTAAATTAATATATTCTTATTCATTCTTAGACTAGCATTAAACTAAACACAAAGTAATATTAAATTAGACATATTCAAATTACAAAATTTAGATAGTAAATAAAACGTTATATTTATTAGAAAAATATGATCAATGCAAATTATCTTATAATTAATAATATATTATTTCTTTTTGATAAAATCATTACATTTTTTTGAAATACAGTATACAAAAAAATGTTTAAAAAATACAAATAAATTTGTTTATTACTTTACAGTATATACATTTTATATGTTTCGTAATTGAACTAATATTAATAGTTTGGTTAGTGATTTAAATTTGGAAACATTTGTGTATAGACAAGTACAAATTAACATCTTAATTATTAATAAAAATCTTAATGGTTGACGTATAGAAATAATATTTTAATCGCAAAAATAAATTTGAAAATAATTACGTATTTGTATGTTTAAAAAACCTTGTAATAAAAGTTATACAAAAGTTAGTAAACTATATAATAACTTTCTTTTACTTCAACTATTTAATTTAGTTAAATATTAGAAAATTATTTATTCTTATATATTTAATTTATTAGTATTCAGTTTTATTCGTAAAAATTAATATTTTCAAATATATGTTACTTAATATAAGCTAATTGTACATAAAATAAAAATATCTCAGGTAAATCAACACTGATTTTAAATAATATTTTTTCATATTATGTAAGTTTGATAATGAAAAAGTAAATAGTAAAGTGTTCATGAGTTCTGAAGCCATCAAAGTGATTACTTTAAATATTCATTTTAATATTTTAATTTCTCTTCTAATATGTGTACATAAACAGATAATGTAACCCAAAAGATAGTAAATAACAATAAATTTCTTAATAAAAATGATTTAATTATTAGTTTTTAATAACACTAATACTATTTTCTTTCCATATTTTTATAAATATTAATAATAATTAATTAATTAATTAAATTTTAATTATGATATCTGTACAATGGAAATGAATTATAAGAATGTTAATTAGATTTATTAAAGTTTTTTATAATTTTTAATATATATTTTTAATAATTATGATTTTGCCTTAAAATTATTTATTGTTAAAAAATATTAATGTTCATTAGTGATTTAAAGATATCAAAATGTTACATTTAATATAGAATTAGTCAGATTTTTCATTAAAATATAGTCTAAAATGTTAATGTTATACCCATATTGATGTAATATTTTAATTATTTAAAATTTCTATACTTTGTATATTCTATACTTTCTATATTTTGTAAACAGAACTGATTTAATAATATAATTTAGAATATAATAACTAAATTATTAAATTACTAGTTGTTTTTCTACATGTATTAGCTTTCATTAATTACATATATATATATATTATTCAAATTATTCTATTAATTGAAAATATTTATGTTCATTTATTTTTATTTCTTTCATAAACAACAATGTTAATGCCCAGACCTTAGATTTCTCGTAAATAAGAAAAATATTCGATTTTATATTTGATATTAAGAAATTAAAAAATTGAAATATGTAAAACGTTCAATAAAATTTTCATTCTTCGATCAAATGAATCCGATATAAAATAATTTTAATACATGCATACCATTCTTTATTTGCATCTCTTAAGATCATTTTCAAAATTAATTTAGTTCATAGAGAACATCTATAAATAAAGTGCTGACTTTGTTTCGACATAAAATGTAGTAAACTGCAAAAAGAAAATGTTTTTATATTTTGTTATAATTAAAGAATTTTAAAGAAAAAAACCCTTAATATCTTATTAAAAATAGTTGTTTATTTTTATGGAAAACTAATTATGAAAATTTTTTAAAATATATGTTTATGCTTTTTACTTTATTCAATATATCGATTTATTTTTAATATTTTTTTTAATTTAGTAACTAAAATCAATTTTTAAAATAAAAATAAATTATAAGATATTTTGATTAATTATGACAGAATTCTATAATAGAAACACTATTAAGAATATTATTTGTTATTTACTGTTACATTATACTTTATTTTAAAAATTTATATGAAATAATTCAAGTTTGTATTGTTTTAAAGTAAGTTATGAAATCATACATTCTTTATATTATAGTTGCGATAATCAAAATAGTAGATATCAGTCTTATTATAGTTTTATCAATTTCTGAGCTGTTATAAAAATAAAAATTTATACTTGACTTTTTAAGGTAGCAGAATTAAATTAACTATTGAATAAATACATAAAATAGAGAAAAGAGTACAATTAATTTATTACTGAAATCTTCTTCCGTATTTCAATTGTTTCTTTTGAAGATATTATGTTTTATTTTCTCTTTCTTTTTTTATATATTACTGAATATTTATTTTCTTACAGTTTAAATTTTTCATTATTATGTTTTCGAATGGTTTATGTTTAATCGAGGTAACTCAAGTAATCGAAAATGCTTTTTTTTCGATAAAATACAATAAATAAGTAACACTTTTCTTGATATTTATTAAAATAATATTATAATAATATTTTAATATACTTGTAGATTATAAAGCATTTTATTAATGTACGTTTGGATATGTGTTACAGGTTATATTTGAAATTATGTATATTTAAAATATCTAAAAATATAGTATCATATCAATACGATATTCTAAAAATATTAGTTTTTTCATAAAGTTTATAAATGGTGCGTTAAAAAAGTGAAAATAATGTTTTTTTATTGGCCACAATTAGTTTTGAAAACTGGTGCTATATATCTATTTTCGTTATGATTTGATTATTTTAGCAGAGCAATAGTAAAATTTAAAAATAAAATATTTAGAACGTATGTAATTCGCCAACTTTTCTATATATAAATACAATTTATAAACTTAAATAATGTGCATTATGCTGACTACTAATTTAAAGTATCATGCATAACTCATATAACTGCAACGATTGATAGGTGGCATTATATTTTTGTGCATATAAAATCATTCTAATTATATAATTATATTATATTCTTAATTATATGATTACATGTTCCAACATTTTGAGTGTCTTTTGAATTACAATTTATTTTAAATTATATAATATATGCTAACAGATTTTTTAATATCTATTCATAATATTTTTAATATTTTAATCGTTTGAACTTTAGTTAATTTGATTCCTTCTTGAAAATCCATGATTTTATATTTTACTACATCTAAAATCCATAGAAAAGGAACAAGTCTAATATGTATTTTTTGTATTGCTTGTTCTAATTTTATACAACCAAAACAGTACAAAGTAAGGAGTATGAATCTTATAAAGTCCTGCGGATCGTATTTTGGTTTTGAAATTTTTAGTATTTTCACATTATATATCTCTATTTTCAGAAACTGTATATCTCCAAAAATCTTTATTTTATAATATTTAATACTTATAATGAAATAATTGAAATCATTATTTACTGAAATATACAATAGTACAATCAGACTCTTAGTATCTTTAAAAAATTTTTTAAAAACTAATCTTAATTAATCTTTATTATCACTTTATTTACATTATAAACATTTATTATTAACATTTATTTATTATCAATCATTTTAAAAATAAAATTTCTTTAATTGATCAAGATCTATCTAAATAGATTAGGTATGAATGATTATAAGAGCCATTAAAAGCTGTTGAATCATCAAATTTGAATAGAAATAACTGTATAATTCAAAAATAATGTTACTAAAAGTCGGAAATCAGTCATTATGAAAAAAAACTATTTCAACAATAAAAATAATTAAAAACAATATCGTTTATATATTTATATCTATATATATTTAATTAGTAATTTTTGTTATATTTGATTTTAAATTTTTAAAAAGAGATTACTGTTGTGTAAGAATTTAAATTATTATCAATTTTATTATTGCTCTAAAGTTAAAAAAATTTATTACTTAAAAAAATGAAATATATTAAAATAATATTCCATTGTGTTTATATATAACTAATTTATTAAATGTCTTATTGTCTGGAATCAGACTAAAAACCTTCTTATGATGGTGAGTGGATGCTTGCTGGCAAGTGGAAGGAGCAATTCAATTATTCAAAACTGCCTTTAATGTTTATAGTCTCTCCTTTTATTAAATATAATAAATAATGAATAGTTAATAATGTGATCGTTCTCATGTCGTTTTTGTTTTGTCGTTGATGTGAATCAAGGCTACGTTCACTGGCATGGAGTTCCCTGGATTTGGGATATCGTATTGCATTGATGCCTCCATGTCTTGTAAGGACTTTGGAAAGATGTCGGGAAGATGAGCCATTTCTCGTGGTTCTACAGCATGTGCCTTCTCTTCAGGCTTGGTAATTTTGCTTGTTTGTGTTGATTCGCCTAATTCTGGACACGGCTTTCTGACATTCGCTCTTGCAGTAGCACAGCATGTAGGCTCTTCTTCCACTGCACCCTTTGTACAGTATTCGTGGTTGACATCTGTCGTTGGCCAGGTGTTTTCAAGCGAGTTAAGTTCCATTGCGAATATCTTATGTGATTCATCCCTGGTGTCTTCCATAGATGATATCTCATCCATGTCGTAGTTTGTGCTCCATGTGTTGCTCGTGGTTACACCTACTGAATCCTTGTTCTCCTTTTTGTCTTGGGTAGACATGTTAATATAATAAGAGCAATAATAGTGTACTTATAGTAGTGAAGAAAACTCTCTTTTTTGTAATCAGTGATCCGTTTACACTGTTGTT